AGAGAGGTAAAATATGGGATGAACGTGTGATAGCACACTATAGAACAGTTACGTGGAATTAATTACATCTTCACTTTTTAACATGGATGACTCTGAAAACATGTTGATGGCAAAAGTAAACAACAGAACGAAGCAACATTAGCATAACCCCATATTAGTTGGGAGTGTCTTTAGCACCACTGACAGATAACTTAGCCACAGCGGCTTAATCAAATAGGGGTTTACTTTTCTCATGTCGTAAGAAGTCCAGAGTTAAGACTATCCAGGGCTGGTGCAGCTGCTCTAGGATATATACCAGGAGGGTTCTTTCTGCCTCACTGTTCTTAGTGTATGGCTCCATCTTATGGCTTTGAGGTATTTAGTAGCAGTCTCAATGCTTAAAACAGAACATTTCAGTTTATGTAGCAATTCTTTTAACCTGGGCTTTTCCATGTGTATAGTATTAGTTTTCAAATAGACTTGAAGTGAGTAAATAATTTTAAAATCAGGTGAATTCAAATCAAAAAGAAGCTGAGAAAATATGTACCTCTCCAGCGCATAAACTCTGGTGCTTATGATGGTAAGTAAAATGTTTCTGGAAGGTGAGGTCCTCTGTGTGACTTAGGGAGGTGAAAGTGTATGTAGGTATTAGGATAAGTACTAAGCAGACAATCTGAACAAGATTGAGTCATTTCCATACTACCACTGATCTTCATCTAGGAACAATAAGAATGTAATCTCTAGTTCTCTCTGTTATCACAGGAGGGTTTCATAAGTTCGGCTTTAGAGACAATGGTTTCTGCTTCTAACCTGCAACTGATTGCACATTTTTGTATTTGAGTAGGAATAGTTTGTTGAAGAGGAAGACAGGAAATAGAGGGAGTCTTATCAGATAATTTATTCTCTGTTTGACTGTTAACTGTTGTCTTGTGGATTGTGAATATGTCTGTGCCAGTTTAGATAATTTAAGTATTTTTAATTATGTCGCTATATTATAGAAAATATTTCTCTCAAACAAAAATATGGGAATTAAAAAAAATCTGACTCCTTTTCTCATACAGAGCATAATTTTCAGTGTAAGGCACTATAGCATATGCTATATTATGAATAACAACAATATAAATTTTACTGGCTACCATTTATTCAGTTTATATCATGTAGCAGGTATTGTAGAAAATCCTTTATGTTGCTTAGTTCACTGAATCCTTATAACAACCTTACATATTTTATTAAATAAGCTTATTAAAATATAGGTTTGATCACATTAGCTAAATGACTGGCATACAGTAAATATCCAATTAAAGGTGTTATTTTTAGTATAATTATTATTGCTCTCGTTTCATAGATGATGTGGCATTATTATTCTCATTTTGTAGATGAGTACCATTCTTGAAAATGTCTTCATCTACTCTCCCTCCGAAAATGTTATACTGTATTAAAAACTTGTTTATTTAATATAAAATATTGAGAAGATAATCTGAACTCACCGGTAAAGAAATATAGCGTTGCTCAAATGGGTTAGCATTAGTTTTTCTAATAACTAATGAATAGTGTCACATAAGTGCAGTGTAACATTTTTGTTGACACTTAAATGTATTACTCACTAGTGGATATGCCAAAAAGAAAATATCCACCCAAATTCCACCCCTGGAGAGCTAAAAATGGTTATTTATTAATCAGTGATAGTGACTTGGAGTACAAACAGATGTCATCATGGTTATCTGTTTTCTGAAAGATTATCTATCATCATAATGTTAGGGTCAAAAAAAGATTGGTACAAAACTTCCCATAAAAAAACTCAATTTTGATTCTGATCCTTGAAATTGTGACCGGATTCATTTTTTTCTCATTCTGTTTCCTTAGTACTTTTTAATTTTTTATTTCAACAGGTGTTTGGGAACAGGTGGCATCTGGTTACATGGATAAGTTCTTTAGTGATGGTTTCTGAGATTTTGGTGCACCCGTCACTCAAGCAGTGTACACCGTACCCAATGCACAGTCTTAGTCCTCATCCCCCTCCCACCCTTTTCCCTGAGTCCCCAAAGTCCATCTTTGTGTCCTCATAGCTTAGCTACCACTTATGAGTGAGAACATATGATGTTTGGTTTTCCATTCCTGAGTTTCTTCACTTAGAGTAATGGTCTCCAGTTCCATTCAGGTTGCTGCAAATACCATTATTTTATTCCTTTTCATGGCTGAGTAGTATTCCATGGCATATCTATACCACATTTCCTTTATTCACTTGTTGATTGATAGGAATTTGGCCTGGTTCCGATTTTGAAATTCAAATTGTACTGCTACAAACATGCATGTCCAAGTATCTTTTTCATATAACTTCTTTTCCTCTGGGTAAGCATACACAGTAGTGGGATTGCTAGATCACATGGTAGATCTACTTTTAGTTCTTCAAGAATCTCCACACTGTTTTCCATAGTGGTTGTACTAGTTTACATTTTCACCAGCAGTGTAAAAATGTTTGCTTTTCACCACATCCACGTCAGCATCTGCTATTTTTTTAATGTGACCATTCTTGCAGGAATAAGATAGTATTGCATGTGGCTTCAATTTGCATTTCCGTAATCATTAGTGATGTTGAGCATTTTTTCATGTTTGTTGGCCATTTGCATATCTTCTTTTAAGAACTGTCTGTTCATATTCTTGCCCACTTTTTAATGGGATTGTTTTTCTCTTGCTAATTTGTGAGTTCCTTGTAGATTCTGGATATTAGTCCTTCGTCAGACGCCTAGTTTGCGAAGATTTTCTTCCACTCTATGGGTTGTTTGTTTACTCTGCTGATTACTTTTTCTGCTGTGCAAAAGCTTTTTAGTTTAATTAAGTCCCATGTATTTATCTTTGTTTTTGTTGCATTTGCCTTTGGGTTCTTTGTCAGGAAGTCTTTGCCTATGTGAATGTCTAGAAGGGTTTTTCTGATGTTATCTTCCAGAATTTTTATGATTTCAGGTATTAGATTTAAGTCTTTCATCCATTTTGACTTGATTTTTGTATGAGAGATAAAGATACAGTTTTATTCTTTTACATGTGGCTTGCCAATTATCCCAGCACCATTTGTTGAATAGGGTGTTCTTTCCACACTTTATGTTTTTGATCGCTTTGTCAAAGATCAGTTGGCTCTAAGTATTTGGCTTTATTTCTGGATTCTTTATTCTGTTCCACAGGTCTATGTGCCTATTTTTTATACCAGTACCATGCTGTTTTGGTAACTATAGCCTTATAGTAAAATTTAAAGTTGAAGGATGCCTCCAGATTTGTTCTTTTTGCTTAGTCTTGCTTTGGCTATGTGGGTTCTTTTTTTGGTTCCATATGAATTTTTGGATTTTTTTTCTAGTTCTGTGAAGAATGATGATGATACTTTGATGGGAACTGTATTGAATATTTGGTTGCTTTGGCCTTATGCTCATTTTCTTTTTTTTCTACCCCCTTTACACTAATTTTCTACATCACTGTAGTAATAAAAATTGGTAAGATAATAGGGCTTGTAAAGAAAATTCAGTACCTATGAGGAGCAGTTTATATTCCTGTTTATACAGGAATAGGATGTGGGTGGGAGGATAACTTTGGATAAAAAAATTGATTGGGGAAGAGAAGAGCATAAAATATGGAGCAGGAGGGGTCACAGAAGTAACTCCATGAAGAAGGGATCATACCTTTCCCAGATGAATGAAAGGAATATTTAAAATATAATACAACTTAAAAATATATAAAGCACAAAGCACCAGAAAGCTAGTAAAAAATAAAGAAACATTAATGAAAACAGGTACTCAATGCACAGCACTTCATTAACTAGTATCTACCTTCTTCATAAAAATAAATTTAGTTACTGTGTTTACCATAAAAAACCTAAGATATGCCAATTTTCTGCACAATATAACTTGAAATGACACTTTATGCAAAAAATAGATTCTGAAACATGAAAGCAAATCTAAGAATAAGTGACTCTGCCTAATGTTTTCTGATAAAGATTATAAAAATGAAAAAATGATTGTACTTTTCTTCATAGGTGTTCATCTAAGTAATGCAACATACCTATTTCTGTCAACATCTGTTTCCACCTGGGGGCCTCAGGAGTATCTGGATTCTCCTCCAACAGCTCTGTCAATTTGTCTTTCAACTCCTGTACTTTGTTTACATTCTGCTTCAGTTCTGCCTCAAACAACTAAAAAGGAAAAAATAATAATAAACTACGTAAACAGCAAAAGACAAAAATACAATAACAGCAGAGCATTTTTTTTTTCTCTAGAATGAACAAAAGAGGACAAAAATCTACTGTTAAATGCTGTGGTGGGTGAGGGCGTGGATTTTGTAATTAATTATTTTCCTTTTCTCTTCTTAGCTAGTGTTCAACTGTGTGATAAAGGAATCCCCACAGAGGAACACTGTGACTATGGAGATAATGACTCTTGTCCCCATTAGTAAAAAAGAATTTCATATTCTCAAACAAGCCACTTTGGAAAAAAAGCAAGATGACATCAGTAAAACTGTAATTAATAAGAAAATCAGTCTTAATAAAGGCTGCCAGAAGTGGAGACTATACCAGTGAATAAGCACTTTTTTTGTGCTACACATAGAATTCAAATATAGGTTGATAATTTGCAGAAATTTTGCCATCACTGCCACCATATAAAGCCATTTTCCCAACCTTGGCAGCTATAGAAAGAAATACCATCTATTAAAGAAAAGAAAAGCATTAGCTACCCTATTTTTACATTACAGAGAACAGATCCCTCATACATTTAGCCCTTAAATAAATCTTTTCCAATAGCTGATTGGTTAACATCCCAAGCTTAAACTCATTTAAATGTAGGAACGTTGCTTACACCCAACAGCTTGCTAATCTATAAACTGGCTGTGCCAAAAAAAATGTTTTTAGGTAACTATGATCATCAATCTCTGTAGAAAGGTACATTAACTAAAATGTCAAATTAGGTACTGAAGGTTATAGAGCTAGAAAACAGAACAGAGCTTCTGACTATCAAGCTCCATTCCAAATGCTAATCCATTCTTTTTCATGTCTTCCATTGGTGCACCCACAGAATGTACCTTATTCTGCTCAACTTGAGTCTTCACAGCTTCAGTATCTGTAGGTGCAGGAGTCTGATGCCATTTTGTGGCAGTTTTGTTCATTTTCTGTAACCACTGCATCATTGCACTTGATTCTTCCTGAGCCTTTTGCAATTTGGAGAGCTTAGTGTTCAGTTCCGCTATTTTGTCCTTGAGTAAGAGGCCAAGATCTTCATAACCATGACTTACGTCAGTCATGTCTTTTTTAATGGATGTTAAACCTAGGAATAAGAAAAACATCTATACTGACACATTTTCAGGACTTTCGGAGCAGAGGTCTAGAAATAAAAAGTTTGTTTTACACAGTATTTTGTCACTTCACCTTCGTCACTATTAAGCCTAGAATGATAAAGTCATAAACTTTTTAGAACTAAAAGGCTGGATCACCTTACAATGCTATTTAATCACAAACAATTCAAGAAAATTGCATAATACCAGTGTAATAAAAAACACAAACCAAAAAATGTTACTTAGCAATATCTCAAGCATCAAACTCAATAAATTAGGTTAAATAATGTTACATCAAGTGACAAAATATCTCGTTAACCAGAAAGAAAAAACAAAACCATGTGTCAAACTCAAAAACTTGGTTTTACTAATTTCAAATAAACAAAACTACATAAAATGTTATATAAATACAATATTCATGGAGATTATGACTATTAGATCAAATACCATTGTAATTCGGGTTTGAAATTTCAATATAACTATTATTTGCATCTAAGATTTTCTCTCATTAATAAAACATACCAAATTATATTAATCAATAACAAATTAAATTTATTATTCACCTTTATTTGCCCAAAATTCCTCAGTATTTGTGGCTGTTCCTTCACCATTTAATATTGCTCCACCTGCAAAAATATTAACACTGAAATAATTAGAGGTACATAGTATTTCTATACATTAATAGTAGATGGCATTAAAGCAAATTTCTATACATTAATAGTAGATGGCATTAAAGCAAACCCCATAAACAGTAATCATTTAAAAATGTTATTACTATTTGGAAATGTAAAATACTAACTCCATTTCAAGATCAAATGAAGGTCCAAAATTTAAATATCAAACAATATCCTCTCTTCTGTGTAAAATTTATTCTTAAAGTAACATGATTGTCTTCATTTCGGTATATCATATAAATATTCATAAAAATTTTTATGAAGTTGCTTTGTTTTTATAATAATTTTTTTTTTATTCTAGGAAAACATATTTAGTAAATTATATTTTAAAGCAATAAGTGGAGCCTTAGTGGTTCTTTTTAAAAATTTTTTTAAATTATTTATTTATTTTATTATAGTTCAAGTTCTGGGATAAATGTGCATAATGTGCAGGTCTGTTACATAGGTATGTACGTGCCATGGAGGTTTGCTGTACCCATCAACCCATTATCTACATGAGGTATTTCTCCTAATGTTATCCCTTCCCTACCCAACCCACATTCAAAAAGGCCTTGGTGTGTGATATCCCTTCCCTGTGTCCACATGTCCTCATTGTTCAACTCCCACTTATGAGTGAGAACATTTGGTGTTTGGTTTTCTGTTCTTATGTTATTTTGCTGAGAATGATGGTCTTCAGCTTCATCCATATCCCTGCAAAGGACAGGAAATTCATCCTTTTTATGGCTGCATAGTATTCCATGGTGTATATGCCCCACACTTTCTTTATCCAGTCTGTCATTGATGGCCATTTGGGTTGGTTCCAAGTCTTTGCTATCGTGAATAGTGCCACAATAAACATATGTGTGCATGTGCCTTTATAGCAGAATGATTTGTAATCCTTTGGGTATATACCCAGCAATGGGATTGCTGGGTGAAATGGTATTTCTGGTGCTAGATCCTTGAGGAATCGCCACACTGTCTTCCACAATGGTTGAACTAATTTACACTCCCACCAACAGTGTAAAAGTGTTCCTAGTTCTCCACATCCTCACCAGCATCTGTTGTTTCCTGACTTTTTAATGGAAACAATTCTAACTGGTGTGAGTTGGCAACTCATTGTGGTTTTGATTTGCATTTCTCTAATGACCAGTGATGATAAGCTTTTTTTAATGTTTGTAAGTCACATAAATGTCTTCTTTTGAGAAGTGTCTATCCATATCCTTCGCCCACTTCTTAATGGTTTTTTTTTTTTCTTGTAAATTTGTTTAAGCTCCTTGAAGATTCTGGATATTAGCCCTTTGTTAGATGGATAGATTGCAAAATTTTTCTCCCATTCTGTGGGATTCCTGCTCATTTTGATGAATTTCTTTTGCTGTGCAGAAGCTCTTTAGTTTAGTGAGATTCCATTTGTCAATTTTGACTTTTGTTGTCATTGCTTTTGGCTGTTAGTCATGAAGTCTTTGCCCATGCCTATGTCCTGAATGGTACTGCCTAGGTTTTCTTCTAGGCTTTTTAGGGTTTTAGGACTTATGTTTAAGTCTTTAATCCAACTTGACTTAATTTTTGTCTAAGGTGAAAGGAAGAGGTCTAGTTTCAGTTTTCTACATATGGCTAGCCAATTTTCCCAACAGCATTTATTGAATAGGGAATCCTTTCCCCATTGTTTATTTTTTTCAAGTTTGTCAAAGATCAGATGGTTGTAGATGTACAGCGTTATTTCTGAGGCCTATGTTCTGTTCCATTAGTCTGTCTATGTATCTGTTTTGGTACCAGTACCATGCTGTTTGGGATACTGCAGCCTTGTAGTATAGTTTGAAGTCAGGTAGCATGATGCCTCCAGCTTTGTTCTTTTTGCTTAGGATTGTCTTGGCTATACAGGCTCTTTTTTAGTTTCATATAAAATTTAAAGTAGTGTTTTTCTAATTCTATGAAGAAAGGCAGTGGTAGCTTGATGGGGATAGCATGAAATCTATAAATTACTTTGGGCAGTGTGGCCATTTTCATGATATTGATTCTTTCTATCCATGAGCGTGGAATGTTTTTCCATTTGTTTGTATCCTCTCCTATTTCCTTGAGCAGTGATTTGTAGTTTCCTTGAAGAGGTCCTTTACATCCCTTGTTAGTTGTATTCCTGGGTATTTTATTCTCTTTGTAGCAATTGTGAATGAGAGTTCACTCATGATTTGGCTCTCTGTCTGTTATTGGTGTATAGGAATGCTTGACATTTTTGCACATTGATTTTGTATCCTGAGAATTTGCTGGAGTTGCTTATCAGATTAAGGAGACTTTGGGCTCAGATGATGGGGTCTTCTAAATATACAATCAAGTCATCTGCAAACAGTGACAATCTGACTTCCTCTCTTCCTATTTGAATACCCTTTATTTCTTTTTCTTGCCTGAGTGTCCTTGCCAAATTTCTAATACTATATTGAATAGGAGTGGTGAGAGAGGGCATCCTTATCTTGTGCCAGTTTTCAAAGGAAATGCTTCCAGCTTTTGCCCATTCAGTATGATATTGGCTGTTCGTTTTTCATAAGTAGCTCTTATTATTTTAACGTATGTTCCAGCAATACTTAGTTTATTGAGAGTTTTTAGCATGAAGGGGTGTGGGATTTTATCAAAGACCTTTTCTGCATGTATTGAGATAATCGTGGTTTTTGTCCCTGGTTCTGTTTATATGATGGACTACATTTATTGATTTGTATATGTTGAACTAGCCTTGCATCCCAAAAATGAAGCCAACTTGATCATGGTAGATAAGCTTTTTGATGTGCTGCTAGGTTCAGTTTGCCAATATTTTATTGAAGATTTTTGCATAGATGCTCATCAGGGATATTGGCCCCAAATTATCTTTTTTGTGTGTGTCTCTGCCAGGTTTTGGTATCAGGATAATGCTGGCCTCAAAATATGAGTTAAGGAGAAGTCTCTCTTTTTCTGTTGTTTGGAATAGTTTCAGAAAGAATTGTACCAGCTCCTCTTTGTATCTCTGGTAGTATTTGGCTATGAATCCATTTGATCCTGGGCTTTTTTTGGTTGGTAGGCTAATAACTACTGCCTCAACTTCAGATCTTGTTATTGGTCTATTCAGAAATTCAACTTCTTCCTGGTTTAGTCTTGGGAGAGTGTATGTGTCCAGGAATTTATCCATTTCTTCTACATTTTTTAGTTTATTTGAGTACAGTTGTTTATAGTACTCTCTGATGGTAGTTTGCATTTCTGTGGCATCAGTGGTGATATCCCCTTTATCATTTTTTATTGTGTCTATTTGATTCTTTTCTATTTTCTTCTTTATTAGTCTGGCTAGCAGTCTATTTATTTTGTTAATCTTTTCAAAAAACCAGCTCCTGGATTTCTTTTTTTTTTCTTGAGACAGAGTCTAACTCTGTTGCCCTGGAGTGTAGTGGCATGATCTTGACTCACTGTAACCTCCCCCTACTGGGTTCAAGCAATTCTCCTGCCTCAGCCTCCTAAGTAGCTGGGATTACAGGCATGCACCACCACACCTAGCTAATTTTTGTATTTTTAGTAGAAACAAGGTTTTACTATGTTGTTCAGGCTGGTCTTTAACTCCTGATCTCATAATCCCCACCCACCTTGGACTCCCAAATTGTTGGGATTACAAGCATGAGCCACCACACCCAGCCAATTCATTTTTTTTTAAGGGTTTTTCATGTGTCTATCTCCTTTAGCTCTGCTCTTAGTTGTTTTTTGTCTTCTGCTAGCTTTTCAATTTGTTTGCCCTTGTTTCTCTAGTAGTTATTTTAATTGCGATGTTAGGGTGTCAATTTTAGATCTTTCTCACTTTCTCCTGTGGGCATTTAGTGCTACCAATTTTCCTCCAAACACCGCTTTAGCTGTGTCCCAGAGATGCCAGTATGTTGAGTCTTTGTTCTTACTGGTTTCAAAGAACTTACTTATTTCTGGATTAATTTCGTTATTTACAAAGGAGTCATTCAGGAGCAGGTTGTTCAGTTTCCATGTAGCTGTGTGGTTTTCAGTGAGTTTCTTAATCCTGAGTTCTAATTTGATTGCACTGTGGTCTGAGAGGCTGTTACGATTTTCATCCTTTTGCATTTGCTGAGGAGTGTTTTACCTCCAATTATGTGGTCAACTGTAGAATAAGTGTGATGTGGTGCTGAGAAGAATGTATATTCTGTTGATTTGGGGTGGACAGTTCTGTAGATGTCTATTAGGTCCACCTGGTCCAGAGCTGAGTTCAAGACCTGAATATTCTTGTTAATTTTCTGTCTCATTAATTTGTCTAATATTGACAGTGGGGTGTTAAAATCTCCCACTATTATTGTGTGGGAGTCTATATTGGGTGCATATATATTTAGGATAATTAGCCCTTCTTGTTGCATTGATCCCTTTACCATTATGTAATGCCCTTGTCTTTTTCATTTTTATTGGTTTAAAGTCTGTTTTATCAGAGACTAGGTTTGCAACCCTTGCTTTTTTTTTCTTTTTCTTTCCATTTGCTTGATAAATATTCCTCCATCCCTTTATTTTGAGCCTATGTATGTCTTTACACATGAAATGGGTCTCCTGAATACAAAACACCAGTGGGTCTTGACTCTTTATCCAATTTGCCAGTCTATTTCTTTTAATTGGGGCATTTAGCCTGTTTATATTTAAGGTTAATATTGTTATGTGTGAATCTGATCCTGTCATTATAATGCTAGTTGGTTATTTTGCCCATTAGTTGATGCAGTTTCTTCATAGTGTCAATGGTCTTTACTGTTTGGTATGTTTTTGCAGTGGCTGGTACCAGTTTTTCCTTTCCATATTTACTGTTTTCTTAAGGAGCTCTTGTAAGGTAGGCCTGGTGGTGACAAAATTTCTCAGCATTTGCTTGCCTGTAAAGGATTTTTTTTCTCTTTTGCTTATGAAGCTTAGTTTGGATGGATACGAAATGCTGGGTTGAAAATTCTATTCTTTAAGAATGCTGAATATTGGCACCACTCTCTTCTGGCTTGTAGGGTTTCTGCAGAGAGATCTGCTAATAGTCTGATGGCCTTCCCTTTGTGCATAACCCAACCTTTCTCTCTGGCTGCCCTTAGCATTTTTTCCTTCATTTCGACCTTGGTGAATCAGACGGTTATGTGTCTTGGGGTTGCTATTCTCGAGGAGTATCTTTGCGGTGTTTGGTGCATTTCCTGAATTTGAATTTTGGCCTGTTTTACTATGTCAGACAGGTTCTCATGGTTAATATCCTGAAGAGTGTTTTCCAATCTGGTTCCATTCTCCCCGTCACTTTCAGGTACACCAATCAAATGTAGATTTGTTCTTTTCACATAGTCTCATATTTCTTGGAGGCTTTGTTCATTCTTTTTTATTCTTTTTTCTCTAATCTTATCTTCATGCTTTATTTTATTAAGTTGATCTTCAATCTCTGATATCCTTTATTCTTTTTGATCGATTTGGTATTGATACTTGTGTATGCTTCACGAAGTTCTCATGCTGTGTTTTTCAGCTCGATCAGGTCATTTATGTTCTTCTCTAAACTGATTATTCTAGTTAGCAATTCCTCTAACCTTTTTTTAAGGTTCTTAGCTTCCTTGCATTGGGTTAGAACATACTCCTTTAGCTCAAAGGAGTTTGTTATTACCCACTCTCTGAAGCCTACTTCTGTTAATTCATCAAATTCATTCTCCATCCAGTTTTGTTCCCTTGCTGGCAAAGAGTTGTGATCCTTTGGAAGAGAAGATGCATTCTGGCTTCTGGAATTTTCAGCCTTTTAGCACCGGTTTTTCCTCATCTTCATGGACTATCTATATCTTTGATTTTGCTAAACATTGGATGTGGTTTTTGTGTGTATGTTCTTTTTGTTGATGTTGATGCTATTTTCTTCTGTTTGTTAGTTTTCCTTCTAATAGGCCCCTCTGCTGCAGGTCTTCTGGAGTTTGCTAGAGGTCCACTCCAGACCATATTTGCCTGGATATAACCAGTGGAGGCTGCAGAACAGCAGAGATTGCTGCCTGTTCCTTCCTCTAGAAGCTCTGTCCCAGAAGGGTACCTGCCAGATGCCAGCCAGAGCTCTCCTGTATGAGGTGTCTGTCGACCCATGCTGGGATATATCTCCCAGTCAGGTGGCATGGGCGTCAAGGACCCACTTGAGAATGCAGTCTGTCCCCTTAGTAGAGCTTGAGCACTGTGCTGGGAGATCTGCTGCTCTCTTCAGAGCTGGCAGTCAGGAACATTTAAGTCTGCTGAAGCTGTGCCCACAGCCACCTCTTCCCCCAGGTGCTCTGTCCCAAGGAGATGGGAGTTTTATCTATAAGCCCCTGACTGGGGCTGCTCCCTTTCTTTCAGAGATGCCCTGCACAGAGAGAATGAATCTAGAGAGGTAGTCTGGCTACAGCGGCTTTGCCAAGCTGCAGTGGACTCCGGCCAGTTTGAAGTTCCCTGGAGTTTTGTTTACACTGTGAGGGGAAAACCGCCTACTCACGCCTCGGTAATGGTGAACACCCCTCTCCCCACCAAGCTCAAGCAGCCCAGGTTGACTTCAGACTACTGTGCTGGCAAGAATTTCAAGTGAGTGGATCTTAGCTTGCTGGGCTCTGTGGGGGTGGGATCCACTGGGCTAGATTGCTTGGCTCCCTGTCATCACCCCCCTTTCTAGGGGAGTGAACAGTTCTGTCTTGCTGGTGTTCCATGTGTCACTGCAGTATGAAAAACTGCTCCTGCAGCTTGCTCAGTGTCTGCCCAAACAGCCGCCCAGTTTTGTGCTTCAAACCCAGGGCCCTGGTGGTACAGGCACCTGAGGAAATCTCCAGGTCTGGGTCTACAGGTTGCAAAGACTATGGGAAAAGCACAGTATCTGGGCCAGAATTCACCATTGCACACGACACAGCCCCTCCGGGCTTCCCTTGGCTAGAGCAGGGAGTTCCCCAACCCCTTGAGCTTCCCAGGTGAGGTGACACGCCGCCCTGCTTCTGCTCACCCTCAGTGTGCTGCACCCACTGTCTAAGTGGTGAAATGAGCTGGGTACCTCAGTTGGAAATGCAGAAATCACCCTCCTTTTGCATTGATCTCACTGGGAGCTGCACACTAGAGCTGTTCCTATTCAGCCATCTTGTCAGCCACTTCTCACTTTATTGTTATAATTATCTTAATGATAAAGGTCCTGAGGCACAGAAGGCACTCAGTATTTAAGAGTGTTGAAAAATGCACACATGGCTGACAAAGGAGTGTCTATCTTACTTAAGGACTGAAAATTGTCTGGTGCAGTTACACAGTGTTATCATGAGCTTAATGGAGACAGAATACTTTTTTTTAAAGACATAAAAAAGAATTTGAAAGTGAAAATGAAAATAAACAAATCAATTATCAAACCCATATTATGTCAACACTAAGAGAGAGCACGATCATTAGCAGTACCTAGGTCTTGCTGTATAACTTACCTGAATTTAAACTCCAGCCCCATTAATTACTAGCCAGGTGGCTGGACAAATGAATCAGCCAAAGTGATGGGAATAATAATATCTAACCATGGGAACTAAATACCACTGTGGGAACCAAAGGTCCTTTGCTTAGGTTTATTACATAATAATCTAGCATTAGTACTTTTTTCATAATCAGAATATTAAAATATCAGTTACACTATTGGCTATGTATCTACAACATAAAGACATTTCTCAGATCAACCACTTACGAACAAGTCTAAACAGAAACATTAAAATATCTGAATCTTAAGTTCGTCCCTTTAAAAAAAATTAAACACAATGGCATTTCAGATGGAAGTGCAAATATCCTGTAGATGCTCAGGACTAATTCCTACCATGCTTGGTAGCTACCAAGAGTCAAAAAAAAAAAAGGCACAACAAAACAAAACAACAACAACAACAAAAACCACTTGATATTTATGGCAAATATAAAGGGGACATGAGGAGCTAAAATAACTAAAACATAATAGATTTCCTCTTCTAAAAAAAATGATATTTCAGGAAATCTGATTAGAAGAAAAAGGAGAAATCATCACACCATTATAATATGGGTAGTCCCTGAAATAGGATTCACAGAGTGGAATAAATGGTTGGCTGAGAAAGTCCCAGCTGGAACATCAGTATCACAATAGGGACAGCTGGGGGCTGGTCAGACTAGATACCCCACAGAGGACACTCAGAGCTCTCAGAAGAAAGATATCAGACCTGCCTTCTGCCTATTATCATTACTATTTTCTTTTTGAGACAGAGTCTCGCTCCATCACCAGGCACCAGGCTGGAGTGCAGTGGCACCACCTCGGCTCACTGCAACCTCCGCCCCCTAGGTTCAAGCAATTCTCCTGCCTCAGCCTCCCGGGTAGCTCCTGCCTCAGCCTCCCGCCACCACACACAACTAATTTTTTTTTGTATTTTTAGTGGAGATGGGGTTTCACCATGTTGGACAGGATGGTCTCGATCTCTTGACCTCGTGATCCACCCGCCTCAGCCTCTCAAAGTGCTGGGATTACAGGCGTGAGCCACCGCGCCTGGCCACCTATTTTTTTTTTAAACTTGTTACTGTATGTTTCAAACTAAAAACTATACCCATAACTTGCTTAAATTAATTTTAGAATCAATATTTACACATGACTTTCCCATTTCATTGAGAAAAGTGGCTCAACCATGACGTACATTGTGATACAGGTATGCTGGCTCACATACTGCATAATTGTTTTCTTTGGGAATGATGTACAGAATGAAATGCATGGGAATAAAATAAGAGAGTGTCCCTCTATAGAAAACAGCTGTTTCCTTCCCTCACTTCTTTCCCAGCTGCCCAGACTCATTTCTTTACCAAATATTACAATTAAATATTTTAAATAGAATTTCTCCATTTAATTAAGGTAAAAAGCAAACAAATTTGAATATAATCATTCCCTTCCTCAATACAACATTCCTTATTCTTACATATTAATTTGGCTATATTTTAATTATAGTCTAATAAAATAAAACATAAGAAGGATTTGAAACTTGATGAGTATAGATACATTCCCAACGCAACGTGCTTACAGATGCCAGATTCTTATCACTTTCACTTTGTATTTCTGAGGTTATTTTATGCATTAATTTAAAAAATAACATATACAAAATTGACATGAGTAAACCCAATTCTTACAGTTTTTGTTATAAATGTAAATAAAGCTCATACCTGATTTAACTGCTGCTATTGCCTTCGCAGGGGTGGTCACAGCACTTACAAGGTTACATAGTGAGATGCCACTGTTGTTTACTTTCTGAATCTCTGGTGTTTTTAAACTCCACTCTTCTTGTAATTTCTTGAAATATAAAAACACATTATTTTGCCATCTTAATGTTTTCAAAGTTGCACATTATAATTCAATTTCTTAAACAGATCTTAAAGGAGTAATAATTGTGGACCCTGATTTGTGAGGGAGTCAATGAAAGAAAAAGGCACCATTCCTATTTGTTCCCACGGCCCAGATGACTGTTAACTCATTTAACAGTGGGGTATGTATGGCCCATTCTGCCCTTAAAGGTTTCATAGGTGGCAAGTGAAATCCTAGCCACAGTGGGAGTCAGGCTATTCCTGGCTGCTATGGGTTCCAAAATAACTGTCAACTGTAAGTTTGTGAAACTGTACTAGGTAATAGACCAGTTACAGGATAAAAGGTACTGGGAACAATAAAAATAAATAGGAATTCAGAATTCCATTTTACAGAGTATTTTAATCCTACAAATTTCAATTACTTTTAAAAACACATATATATCCACAGATTTGGAGTGGAAAAAGTGCCATACTGGTCACAGGTGTTACGACTTGAATCAGGTGACAAAAGACTTGTGCACTATTTATTTATGCAGGAGATTCAAATAACTTCTAACTCCAAATACTCATTATAGTGATATATACAAGCTAGAGTAAAATGCTGAGTGAAGAGGATGTTTTACTTAATATGATGAGAAACAGTATAAAAAATCACTGAAACTAAGTAGAGATTTGGTAGAAAAGGAAACTTGATTACAAGAATAGTCAGCAACTCATCAGCACATCTTTTTTTAAAAAAAGCAAATCAACTAAAACTTTATGTCCTTCTTCAGAATAATTAGTTAAGATCCATGCCATGATTTCCAAAGGTCAACAAAATATACGGTACATATATGAGGATCTAACTTAGATAATATTAGATCAAAGAAAACAACCATTAGTCTTTTAATCATTCATTACTGACACAGGTAAATGAAAAATTAGTATTAGATAACAATGATTCACCTTAGTGTCTTCCAAAGATTTTCCTAAATCCTCTGCACCAAATGAAGGCTGCACAATGGGAACTCTTTTTGTTGTTTCTTTCATCCACGACTTCAATGATTTAACAAGAACTTGGAAAGCATCCAACTGCTCTTGACAAGAAGTTACAGCTTCTTTTCTAAATAACAAAAATCACACAAGAATTTAAGTCACAGCAAGGAAAATAAATAAGTAATTATTCTCATGTCACACTTAATGTTAAGAAACATCTTCCATGTGTATTCCAACCCTTTGATACAGGAAGAAAGGTTTCATACGTGACAAGTGAAATCAGCTAAATCAGTAGTCCCCAACCTTGTAGGCACCAAGGACTGGTTTCGTGGAAGACAGTTTTTCCACAAACTGGGTAGGGGAGATGGTTTTGGGATAATTAAAGTGCATTACATTTATTGTGTGCTTTATTTCTATTATTATTACACTGTAATATATAGCAAAATAATTATGTGATTCCCCATAAGGTAGAATCAGTGGGAGCCCTGAGCTTATTTTCCTGAAATGAGGCAGTCCCATCTGGGGGTGATGGGAGATAGTGGCAGATCATCAGGCATTAGGTTCTCATAAGGAGTGTGCACCCTAGATCCCTTGCATGCAGTTCACAATAGGGCTCGTGGTCCTATGAGAATCTAATGCTTCTGCTGATCTGACAGGAGGCAGAGCTCAGGCAGTCATTTGAGTGATGGAGAGCGGCTGTAAATACAGATGAAGCTGTGCTGCCACAACTCACCTCCTACCGTGTGGCCCAGTTCATAACACGTCAGGGACTGGTAGGTACCTCAGCGGTTAGGGGAGCCCTGAGCTAAATAACTATTGGTCTATTTCTCAGGCAAGGTTCATAGATAAAGGTAGGAGCCAGTCAAGAAATCTGTAGCCCATATGTAATGGCACTCTCTATAATGCTACATAAGCTCTAAGAATACACAAACAGTTTTAACATTATTTAGATTCAATAAGCTTTGATCTGACCACTTTACGTGATGCTGAATGCCGGCAAGCACAGAATCAGAAGGGAAAGGTTTACAATCACTGACATGAGGAAAACATAATGCCACCTAGTGGTTTCTACACTATACTACAGTCACGTTTACGGATGGATAAACTGCTTCAGGCAGTCCAGATTTAAGTCTCTCAAAATGAGATGAAACCTAGTGACTGGAGAGTTTTCATGTGACTCAGGAAGCTCCATAGTGATGGATAAACTGCTTCAGGCAGTCCAGATTTAAGTCTCTCAAAATGAGATGAAATCTAGTGACTGGAGAGTTTTCATGTGTGACTCAGGAAGCTCCACAGTGAACTGTATGGATCGTTCTGTATGCTCGGCACCATGGAGGCAGTGCACACCCCCAGCATATAAACAACTGTGAGGACAGTGATATTTGGCATGTGGGTGACATGTGTGAAATGCAAGCGTGCAGAACACTGGCAGATAAGAATGAAATGCAGCTGGATTAATTACTGATGACTACATTATTTTAAAGTTGGACCCATTTTAAAGAAGAAGCAACCTAGACATCACCTAAGAAAACCAAGAACATTTTTTCTATTCAATGTGAATTAAATAGCATATGACAGGATGGAACATATAGCTCTGTGAGAAGTACAGACAGCACTCAAACATTTTAGGTAGAGAATTCTGAAGAAATAAAGAAGAGTAGTTGGAAGAGAAATGACTTTTCTAAGTTTTGAGGCTTTTGTACATAAACTGTAGCAAAATCTGATGTATATTCTAAACTAACACAAGATCAGAAATACAAAAGCTCAATCATAAGGCCCTGTACAGCTTTTTGGCTCAACGTAGATTCTTTTACTTGTTTCTTGCCTTGTTTTTTCACAGGTTCATATCTCATCTACTGCTCTTTAAAAAGTAACTATTAAAAATAAATAAATAATAAAAAGTAAACTATTATATTTAAAGGACCACATGGAAATCGCACATTGTTTCTGAATTGAGCTCAGAAAGCAAAGAATCATGAGCTGTTGTTCAAGGTTATTTCTGCCTTTGCAAATAAAAATGTGATATTTGCCCAAGGCTTTAGAGAATACAGCAAGTTTAGATCATTTTCAGGAATATACTACCACCATCATTTTTCTTATGCAATATTTTCCACTTTTATGTAAGAAGTATTGAATTTTCCTCCTAAATATTAAACCAAATAATGTATTTAATTTTAATAGCACAAAAATCAATATCAAAACATTTATAAAGTAGCTCTATGCTTATTCTCAAGTTTACAAAATTGTTTCAGTTATCTACACAAGTATCTCATGCTAATATAAATAAAATAAAATACAATTTTTAAAGTGGTACTTACTTTTCTTTGATGGTATCCTCCATTTCCTTGAATTTCTTTGACAAATTATTTGTTTTTTCAAAAACCAGAGCCTTATCACCTGGTAAGCCATGGCTGGATATCTCCTTCAAGAGACTGTGCAAAACTTCAAGATCTTTCTTGTGTTCTAAAAATTCAGAAGTTGATTCCTACAAAGCATTTAGATATTTAGTCAATATGAGTATTGCTAGATCTTCAAATGGCATTCCACCCAGAGGTCTGTGTGGGATTAGAATTACTCTATTCATAATTTCACATAAGTCTGACTATGGCCAGTACTTTAAATATAATAAACATGCAAATAGGCTATTTGAAAAAGAACACAGTAAACCTTATTTAATTTAAAATGCCTTCTATATTTTGTCTCTTTGTGGCTTCTGGTATGTAAGATGATACTTATACCACTATCTTATGTGTGATGAATGGTATTTCTTTTCAATCAATCAGCAAAGGCTTCAAGGAAAAGATGAGGTTTGAGATTTTTAAAGGAAGAAAACATAGATCTTTACTAACCCATAAGCAATTAAAATGACGATTGCCAATTATAATTCTGGCAATAAGCACATGAGTTTACCTTAACTATCAATCTACCAGATTAGCCTCCTGCATAGTAAGGAAAACATACCTGCATATACTGCGACAATTCAGTAACATCTTTTCCTGGCACATCTACTTCAGTAAGAGCCTGAGTTTTTGTTTCTAAAAATGTTTGGAGCTTTTCTGAGAGGTTCTCAAACAGTTCCACTTTGGTTTTTAGCTCCTCCATTTTGGCAAGTTTTTCTTTGTGTTTATGACTTGCTTCTGAAAACCGAGAGGACAAGTCCTTCATTTTGGCTTGCAGTGAGGATGCGGTGGATGGATCTGTTGTTTCCATAAATTTCTTCACTTTTTCATTCATGGCATTTATACTGCTCTGACGACCTGCGATATCCTGTTCCAACATCTAAAACAAACCAAATAGTGCATATGCTTTATAATGATGTTTACAAATAATGCGACTGAATTTTTTAAAATGACTATTCATAACAATATAAGCTTGCACAACCTGTGACTACAGAGGTTAACAGTTGAAACTGAATGACAAGTTTAAACGGTCCCTTGAGAAATGTCATCTTAAATCTCTCCAAGGGAAAGTGAAGAACAGCTGGCTAGTTGCTCAAATGAGGCAGGAGGCTTCTGCTACTCAGCAACCCCTACGATCTAATGGAGTCTGGGGATTAGCCATGGTCCTAATTCTTAAAAGGCTAGACAAGGCTGATCTGATTAACCTCATGTGCAGCTGGCTGAAACAATGATAAACAAGATAAGACTCGATGTATGCATAAGCCTTCCATAATGAATAATATTCAAGAAAAAGTACACAAAGCCCTTCCTACACTTCTTTCCAGAAAAATCTTTTACACACTTGATTTTGTACAAGCATTACTTTCCACACTCATATTCAGCAAATGCCTTTTTGTATCCCTAAATTTATCTTAAATCTAACTATATTTTGAGCTTATAAAAGTGCTTTTTAAAAAAACTGTAAGTGGGACTTTTTTTAAAGTCACTTACAATGTTTTTACTGATGATATCCTGAAGAGCAGCAGAGTTTAAGGGCACTTGACCTTGTTCTTTTAGAGAACTTTCCACACTTCCCATCCAGTCCAGCATTTCATCCAAGCCATCCTGCACACTCAGTGAACGGGTCAAGGTTATCTGGAGTTTTTCATTTCGGTCATTAACAGACTTGGACAGATCCTCGTATCTTCCAACAATGTCATCTACTCCAAACACATCAGGAAATATTAACCACAAAGTTCTCTTTGCCCTAGCCCTTTTCAAAAACACATGAAGGTGAATCATACAAATTCCACACAAGAATTTTAAAAATAAGTTCAATGATAAATTCCTAATGCATAATCAGAACACCACCTAAAATGTTAAAATACAAAGAAAAAAAAGAGTTCAATGGAAAATGAAAATTGAAATCTTTTTTAAAAAGTTAATATATATATCCCATCTGCATTTGAAAAGAGATTTTTCTGTATGCATAAATATTTGAATTGTCCCTGAGAGATGAAAGAGTGGTCCAAACAACAGCAAATCTTTGAAATAAATACTGGTTCTCAATCTGACATTTCACATTAGCCATACTTATTGATAATTACTTACAGGGAAAAAGGTGAGTCACATGCAGCTATTCTCAAAATAATACACAGTCACAAACATTTATGAAGAATTAAATATTACATATAAAAATTATTACTCTCTCTCCCTCCCTCATACACACACACAAAGCTTTTGTCATACTTCCCAACTGATGCAAATCACTCAAATGCAGAGAAACTGGCAGATGCAAATAAACTGAGAAAACAGGCAACAATGAAAATCCACTTAAAGTTGAGACTATGCTTCTAAAATACATACTAATTGTATTTAAAAGTTTAACAGCAGACACAAGAGAAAAATAAACTTAACAGGCTAACCTATCTCATATGAGGATAAACTTTACCTTCAATTCTAAAGATAAGACGCTAAAGAAAGAAAACCCTTTCTGGTCTCGTTTCCACTTGACTAAAGCCCTACATTTTAATATCCTACATTCTATATTGTAGACCAATGAAAAGTTCGAACAACAATGGTTTTTAATGTATTCATCTCTTTCTCTCTGGAAAACAGTGTTTTAAATGGTGAATTTATCACTTATTATCCAAGAATCTTAAAAATGTTTTAATTATTTCTGAGTTCTTTAGTCTCATACATTGTAGAAAGCTTCGGTAGAGGAAAGCTGTGGGTCCTGAAACACCTCTATAAAATGAAATCTCTTACAGGCTTGTGTTTGGCCCGTGAAGCATAATTCATACAACAAAACAATGTAATTGTTCTAATGCTACATTATCAGAAAACAGCTTGAAAATTTTCACTGGAGTGAGAGGTTAAATGTAGATGATTTAAAGAGAAAATCATGCTCCTCTTACTAAAACATAATGAAGCCCATCAGCAGACTGAGTGGGGAGGGAAACAGCATTTAATATTCACCAAAATGCTATCAGCAAAGGAAACAGGCAGTGGGCTCAAAAATAAGCTCTAAACAATAGACGGTGGAGACTACTAGTTGGGGGAGAGTGGTGGGAGGGTAAGGGCTGAAAAACTCCCCATTGGAGACTATGCTCATTGCCTGGGTGATGGTTTCAATCATATGCCAAACCTCAGCATCATACAACACACCTTTGTAACAAACCTGCATGTGTACCCTCTGATTCTAAAACAAAAGTTGAAGGAAAAGAATGAGCTCTAATTTGGAAAGTCACAAGAGCACAGGATCTGAATGGCAGCTTGAGGTTGGCAGGTTAGCAACTTCTCAATTGGGCAACTGTGCATCAACAGGGTAAGGATCAGTGATCTGTTCAGCCATAATAAGTGACTTTCCAAGAAAGCCAGCTATTTTCATATAATTCACAGATTTGAGTGACTGTTTGCTATAGACTAAATGGTTGTGTCCCCCAAAATTCATATATTGAAGCCTAAGTCCCAGTGTGATGGTGTTTGGAGGTGGGGCCTTTGGAAGATGTGATATTATCATATAATAAGAAATATTTGGTCTCTGACCATAGCTCTTAACATAGAGTTCCTAAAACCCTTCTGATTTCCTCAGTAATACAGACACTAAGAGAATCTCTTGCTCTGGTATCTGATCATTGACCCCAGTTCCTGACACAGAGCTCCTAAGACCTTTGTGATTTCCTGAGTGACAGGAGTATATGACAGAGCTCCTAAATTCCTTGGCATTTCCTGAGTGAGGGGTCTCTTTTGTTCGAATGAGGTGATGCCTGGTGGCCTCTTGGATAGTCTTAGGGTAAGAGAAGCAGGGGAGAGTGGGAGATGTTGCCAGGGAACAAACCATGTGATTAGACAGTTGGAACTGTCACCTCCTCAACCTCTGAGGAGGAAAGCAGGGCTGAAGGTTCAGTTGCTACCAATGGCCAATGATGTAATCAGTCATGCCTATGTAATGAAGCTGCCACCAAAACCCAATAGGTTTGGTGTGGAGAGTTTCTGGATAGCTGAACACAAGGAGTCCTGGGGGTGGCATGCCCAGAGGGCATAACGTTCTGCTCCCCTTCTCCCATACCTCACCCTGTGTATCTCTTTCATCTGGCTGTTCATCTGTATCCTTTGTAATATTCTTTACAATACACAGGTAAATGTAAGTAAAGTCTTTCTCTGAGTTCTGTAAGTCGCTCTAGCAAATTAATAGAACCTGAGAAGGGTCATAAGAACTCCAATTTATAGCTGATCAGTCTGAAATACAGGTCACAATTTGGGACTTGTGATTGGTATCTGAAGTGGGGGCAGCATTATGAGACTGACCCCTTAACCTGTAGGGTCCGAAGCTAATTCCAGGTAGACAGTGTCAGAATTGAATTGAATTGAATTGAACTGAATGGAATTATAGGACATCCAGCTTGTATCTGCTAGATAATGTTTGATGCATGGGGAGAAATTCACACAGATCTGGTCACAGAAGTGTCCTGTGTGGTGATTAATGGTGTGTGAAAGTAGCAAAAACACTCAGGTTTTTTCTCTCTCTCTAAGGAGGTAATTAGGTCATAAGGGTAGAGCCTTTGTGAATGGGATTAGTGCCCTTAGAAGAAGAAACAGGAGAGAAATGATGTCCCTCCACCACTCTCTACCAGCAAGATAGTGGCCATCTGTAAGCCAGGAAAAGGGCCCTCACCAGAGCCAGACCATACTGGCGCCCTGATCGCAGACTTCCAGCCTCCAGAACTATGGGAAATAAATGTCTGTTGTTTAAGCTACCCAGCTGATGGTATTTTTGATATCATAGCCTAACGAAGACACTGTTTAGTTTGTACCTCTTAGTAATAAAACATTGTCACTGAAGTAAATTCTTGATTTTAGTAACTAAAAGTTATTTTAGAAAAAGGTAAAAAAATCTACTATAAGAATTTCTTTTTAATCATTGGTTTTCTTAGAAGTCAGAAAGATATGAACAGAAACTCCTCTATACTTTAAATAGTTTCACATATTCCTAGAAAAGTATGTCAGAGATTTTAGTCTTAAAATAATGTAACAAATGAATTTTAAGCAACCAAACGTGAAACTATGTACACTTAACAATGGGAAAAAAATTATCAAAATGCCTCTTCAAATAACAGAAATACAAATAAGATCGTCTTTCTTTCTCCTTCATATGCTTATACTTAAGTCCTCACAGCAATGGTATCTAATGTGGATATACAAGATGCTGCACTGGGACAGAGGAACAAAATGTTAGAAATTCCATTGCTACTTTCATTTTATACTTTAAAACTCAATACTTTTATATTTTATAATTATAATTCATATAATAATATAGTACATGTTCATATGACTTATAAATATATCTGCATATACGGAGATACACGCTAAAAGATCATTTTTGACAGAGGCACATAATAAAAAACATCTGGATATATGTAAGAATGAAAGACAGGGTTTCCCTTCTACAGAGTGGTCTTAAAAGAGCTAAGTTCCATTCTTCTCTTCAAGTAAAATTTCTACTCAGATTTTAATTCATGCTCTATTTAGGGTAAAACATATGTCTAGTCATCTGTTGTGGAATATTTTTACTTCACATATTCACACACAGAAATATACAATAACATTAAATATTATCAAAAGCAAAGCAGTGAAAACAAGAAATACATATATAAGATAGTAAAAAATATATATTGATAATCCACTGCACATTTGGTATAAACTAAATACTGTGGGTGGATACAAAAATAATATACAATAGCTCTTTTCTCAACAAACACATTAATCTAACACATAAAGGCAAAAAAGTACCACTATACCTGTAATCAAGTTTCTAGTATCACTAAAGATAACTGGGTAACTGGAACCCTCAATTTGAGTGAGGCCACTAAAATACTTCTAGAACACAGAGAAGTGGGAAGACTTCTCAAAGCGCATCTCTCAGGCTGGGTACAGAAGCTCACACCTGTAATCTCAACATTTTGAGAGGATCATTTAAGCCCAGGAGTCAGAGACTAGCCTAGACAACATAGTGAGACCCCATATCCACAAAAAATGTTTAAAAATTAGCTGGGCATGACAGAGCATTCCCATAATCCTCACTTCTCCAGAAGCTGAGATGGGGAAGATTGCTTGAACCCAGGAAGTCAAGGCTGCAGTGAGATGTGACTGCACCCCTGTACTCAGCCTGGGCAACAGAGTGACCCCTGTCTCTAAAAATAAAAAAAATAAAATTAAGCACATCTCTCAACCTCTTAAGCCCATGTTCCCACTATTGATAAAGATCCTCAGAGAGTCTATTTTGGCCTTCAGTTGAAAGCCTACCTCTACCCAATCCCAACGACCAAGAAAATTTGGTGACATTCTGCTTCCTGTGGTGGACATTACAAAGTGAATTTCTGTTACCTTTTCTAAATATCAAATTTAAATTTAAATATACTTTTCAAGATACACAGCCCCTGCCCTTAAGATTCTAATATACCTGCCAAAGAAGGCATGCGTTTTCCCAGATTCAGGAACACCATTTCACAGAGAAAGAACACATAGAACACGGTCTAAAATTAGTGAACATTCTTCTCCATATCTATTAGGATACTTTTCTTTAGAATTTGCCTGTGAGACAGGAAGAAAGGACAGGAATATCTTACCAAGTGTTCTCTGGATATCATTCTTGGCTGGAAGTAAAGATCCCCTGGCATCTAAAAGTACTTCAGCCGTTCTTTTCAGTTTCTCTACAGCAACCTGCTGACTTGATATCTGTCCTTGCAGAGCCTGTAAGATTAAAAGCTTTTCAGTTAGACTCAGTAGGACTAAATAACAGATTTCTAATGTGGACAAAATAATCGGTAATAAGATAAAGTAAAATTGGACAGAATAAACTTTTCTTCGTATCAACTTTCATCATCAACTTACTCCAGAGTTCTTAGAATAAGGCCAGTTATGAAGTAGCATTAGCAAAAGCATGAGCCAGTCTGGATAATACAAATTCAGTCTTGAAATAAACCCTTGAACATATATATGTTCATAATAATTTCCCTGGTTCCTGATCATACAACCCGCTAACTTTATACCCTGAGTTACCCCTTAACCCCTACTTCTAGGCTTTGTATAATACCTCAACTACTACCAAAACAAACAACAGAAAACATATGAGACCATTTCTGACTCCAGGTAAAGAGATAAATTAGCCCGCCCAAATCAGTAGATCCTGACTCAATACTGAGTCATTTTTATTTCTGCTAATTCAATAAGAGTTACTGAAAATCTAACAAATTCAAAAAGCCTTGCTACATTTTGTGAACATATAAAAATAAAAATGAACACGAAGCTTACACTCAGGGATTTTACGGTCTGAGACAGGAAGTGGTAAATGCCAAAGGTGAGTATGAAAAACTGCTCTTGGAAGTTGGCAGGAAAAAACAAAAAAAAAAAATGGGAGGGAAATGAGAGCCACCTCAATGGTAGTGACACTGAGATGGCCCTGAAGGAGTGTGGATTTGGGAAAACAACTCCCTGCAGAACAAACCAAAGACACAAACATGAGGACAGAAAAATCACCGGAGAAGGGAGAGTCCTATCCAGTTTGACAATGCATACGTGTGAGTAAACAGAAATAGGCCTGGAAAGGCCTCATACATCAGGCTAAGAAGTTTAAACTTTATCCTGTATCAATGGGATACAGGATCTCCCTGTATCCTGTATTCTTTATAATGGGATACAGTTATGCAGGGCTTCTGGGTAAGGGGTTCATATGCTCAGGGCTGTCCAACAGAAAGGCTAAATTTGTAGCACTGCATGGATTTTTCCAAAGTGCTGAGATTACAGGAATAAGCCAATGCTCCCAGCCAATAAGTGGTATTTATAAACAAAAGTGAGAGCAAGCTTAGAGTAAAGGAATGCCTGTTTTGGAATTCATGAGTCCAAAGTGCTTTTGGGAGCCTCCTACAGAAAGAAACAGCAAAATGGGCAGAGACTTGGAATACAAACTGGAAATAGACGTAGAGAACTGGAAGTCAAGACACATGATGTGACTCCTAAACGGGGAAGCACAGCAATGTCAGAGAAGGAGATTATAAAGAATCATGGAGAACATTTACATATAAGTGATGAGGAGAAGAAAAAAACAAACAAATGTAACTGGTGAGGTGAAAATGGGCCCAGAATAATTCTGTCCCCCAAGATTAAAGGAAGAGGGAAGTGGAAAAGATTAACAGTGTCCATTGCTTTGGAAAGGATAATGTAAACTGAAAGACTAATGAGTCCTTGAATTTAATTAATGTAGGTCCCTGCGTATCTCTGAGCAAACAGATGTGGCTCAACAATGGGAAGGAGGGGGAAAAAAAAAGGTAGAAGCTGGAGCCATAGATACGTCTTCCAGAAGTTTGGCCCTGCACTTCTAACAGCTCTGACAGATCTCTGCAAAAGCGGGCTGCCTGGCCACATAGGCCTCTGCCTGGCTTTAATTTCTCTTAAGCGACTCAAGCTCCTCTTCTGCTCTTTTGTATTGGGATTTCAAAGCCCCAAATGTCCAATTGTAGATGTGAACTCATCCTTGGCCATGGGCCTAGCTTTCCAACTGCCTCTTGAATATTTCCATCTGCATATATGCAGTCACCTCCACCTCAAAAAACCTAATCTGAACTCATCATCTCATTCTCTGTACCGACACTTTCTCCTGGGGTATATCTTAACTACCCAAGTAGCAAACCTGAAGTTCCTCCTAGATTCCATCCTAAGGCTTCTTTTCCACATGCAAATCAACCATTTAAAGCTTTTTTCAAACATAGAAATCAATCGACAATTTTACCTCCTTAATATTTTTTAAAAGTCAACTTTTGCTTCATATTTCTCGATCATTACAGGATAATGTCTCACTTGGATTGTCAAAAAAAAAGAATCCTGTGTTTCTGCCTCCAATCACTTCTCTAATATAGCTCCTAATGTGTTCTATCTAAAATACATATCTGACCATATATCACCCTGATATAGTTTGGATATTTGTCCCCGCCCAAATCTCATGTTGAAATGCAATCCTCAATGTTCAAGGTAGAACCCGGTAGGAGGTGATTTCTCAGGAATGGTTTAGCCTCATTATCTTGGTGCTGTCCTTAAGACAGCGTGTGAATTCTAGCAAGATCTGGTCATTTAGAAGTATGTAGCACTTCCCCACCGTCCCGCTGCCCCACCTCTCCCACTCCCACACTTCCTCTCTTTCCCTCTTTCCATCTCTCCCTCCCTCCCCCACTTCTCTCTCTGGCTTACTTGCTTGTGCTTTTGTCATGTCACATGCCTGTTCCTGCTTTGCCTTGCTCCATGAGTAAAAGCTCCCTGAGGCCTCCTCAGAAGCTGAGCAAGGTCAGTGCCATCCTTGTAGAATCATGAGTGAGCTAAATCTTTTTTCTTATAAGTTACCCAGTCTCAAGTATTTCTTTATAGCAACACAAAAGCAGCCAAATAGAAACCCCGTTAGAAATTTATTAGTAGTCTCCCTTCACAATAAAGGCCAAGACTTGAGTATGCTATAAAAGGTCCAATGAAATCTATTCCCTAATTCTATCTTCAATCTCAACTTTCTGTTCCAGAAATATCCAATACAGCTATTTCTTACCTATTTATTCATGCTGGACCCAATGTCTTAACATCTCTACATATCAGCTTTTTTGTGCAACCTACCTCCACCATCCCGAACCCGGCTCTTATTCACCCTTTAGTACTCAGCTGGGAAACCTTCCCTAAGTCTCTCCTCACTCTTAGCTTTGGTAAGTATACCCCAAGGAACTCCCATAAATACCCTGTGACTATTATCGCATTCATCTGTGCCTTCTTGAGAACTAAGAAGTCATCCCTTTCAGCTTTCTATTACTAGTGCCTAGATCAGTGCCTGACACATAACAGGCTCCATAAAATTTTTTTCTGGAATAAATGAGCAACTACGTAAATAAATGAACATATCAGGTGTGAGATCTAAAGAGCTTCTCTTCTATTTCAGCATTATTTATTGTCATTATTGAAATGCCTAAAGCTAATGGCAAAAATTTCCTCAAATAATCTTCATAATCCAAGAAACTGGGATGACATACAAGCAGTCTGTGTATATGTCAAAAGGCCCACCAAACCATGACTGACATGGGATCTAGAATACCAGAACCTATAGTTGTTTCGAGATGCCGAAGAATCTTCATCATAGTGGATCTGTTTGAAAAATTCTCCTAGCAGTTTAGTTACGGAAAGCAGAAAAAATTCCTCAAGACATGAACTTTCTACCTGTGACCAGACTGAATTCTAGACCACAGGGACGGCTCATTCACATAACATGGTTATTTAGGAGATGAAGTACGTGAAGGGTACCCTCTGAAAATTTTTTTTAGAGTGTGAATTTACTAAGGGCAAGAACAGAGTTTTAACATCTTTGTGCCTTCATAAAACCCAGCATACAAATGTTTACTGAATGAATAAATACATGTAGAAGTGACCATGGTTCTATTAAAACATCCAATACCAAAGATGGCCCTGTCTACCAGCTTATAACTTAGAAGTGAATTATAAAAGAAGCATGTCTTCTTTACCTCTTCTTGTCAAAACACCTCATGCCTTTAATCTCGACAATTATATTGAAGAGGTAATCATTTTTAATTCCTAGCATGTATCAAGGTCCTAATTTAACAATAATAGTTGTTTATAGTGCTATTTTGGAACAAAATTGTTCATCCCAGTATTCAAATGGGTACCTTATATATTGTTCTGAGTGGATTTCAAGAAAATTTAAACATGAAAGAAGGATCTATGACAAGAGAATACCAGTTGGGACCAGAAGACAGCGAAATCTATAAACTTATGGGCACTTGTCCAATTCATAAAAGTTTCCTGACTTAACACCACCCCAGAAATCAGTGCAAGTCTGGAAGGCTGACATTGTCAGTCAATGTAATCTAGCCCCATTGCTGGTTCCAAATCCAGGACTTGAGACTGGTCCCAAAATCCTGTTTTCTACACCTCTTCTGGGGCTAAAATCTTGTTTTATCCACTAATTTCCCTGAAAAGGGATCTTGAGGAGTCTTATTATGGCCTAGTAGCATCAGACTGTTGACAAAACAGTTAACAGTTCTTCGAATAATAATGCTGATAACAACATGCTATTGGCCAAAAATATTTCAAATGAAATGAACGAATTGGGTGCCCCCAAACTACATTTATGATGCAACAGTATATAAGTAGAAGGTAATATATTAAACATAGAAAGACTAATTTTTTTGTAGTAGTCTCATGGGTTTACATTATAGTTAAAAGTAATTGTAAAATGTTAATAAACATGAAAGAAATTGAAGCTACCTAATTCTCATAAAAATTTATCCTTGATACATTCTGAAATCTTCTGAGAGAAAAATATGTGCATTACCAGCAACAATTTTAATTGTACATTTAATTTTTAAAATTATGCTATGACTTAATTAGAACTCATTCTCCTTAGAGATTTCTCTTTGCCTTTCATATTTCTTTAACTGCCTTAGGACTAAAAGAGTCTTCTTCTGCAGCAATTATCAAATACGTTTTTCCATTTTAAAATTTATCGATATATCTGTTTAATTAAAAAATCAATGCATTCTTTTGGGTTTTTCTTTTTTTGCTCTAGTGATATAAAAATTATTTTTATATAGAATATAACCTGTTTACTAACATAGATCTAACTTAAAATGTATTATTTCTATTTTATGTATTTTCTATACTTAAAATAACTTCCTAATTAAATGATATATATGCAATCAATAATTATTTTAAATGATTTGCATTTCCTAATAAAATAATGACCTCAATGTCACAGTAACTCCTCTTTCCCACCACATATCTTGTCCTTGAATATATAATAAATTAGGAACTGAAAACTTAATTAAAATAGATTTGTTCTTGTCCCTGTGGAAAAGAGAAAGAAAAAAAAAAAAAAACAGGACTGAAAATGCACATTAGAAAAATGAAACAACCCCTGGGGAGGCTGCATGGACCTGGGAATGCTGACCTGCCCATGGCATCTCCCTGGTGCCCAGTGAAGGGCTAGATAAACTCTTCAGTCTGGGAAAGAAGCAGTACCTCCACCCTCCTTACCTCCTGACTGTCACCTTCCCTGCTCTCATCCTATGCTTCCCACCCCTTTACAGGCCTTCTCTCTGCCTGACATTAACCGGCCACATTTCAACCAGGTGTGACTTAGCTTTCCTTAGCTCTCCAGAAGTTGTCAATCTCAGGCAATACCAATTTAAGCTTGCTCATCAGGGTACCTGTTTCCCTTGTCAACAGCACAGTGACAATTTTTGACTCTGTAAATAATATGCAATTAAATTCTGAGAGATAGTTGTCTAACTGGCAATCCTGTGTTTATTTTCCAGCTATGGCAGCAATAACCTACTATTATTGACCTGCTAAATCGAATCATAGAACAGATGGATGAAATGAAACTTTTAAACTCAAAATTACGGGTCACATTGAATAATGATAAAATATTTTAAAAGTTCTCATCCCTTACTTTAGAATTTTAAAATGTTTCAGATTTTAAAAATAGATTAAAGACTCTCTGCCAGTGTATGACTGAGAATCCCACAGTTATGCCGTTTTGACATCGAGCCTATATTTCTATAAGAGCAGGTGGACTTTTTGAGAACTGTGCTGAGTAATTATTAAAGTTTATCTCTGTGAATCATGTAAATATTCAATAAGAACCCGAAACCTGGTCCTTAGAACCACTGAATGTGACAGTAGCATCCCTTCTTCCCTTCTACCTCTCCACTCTTTAACAAATATCTATTGAGTACCAACTTTGGGCCAGGTAATATTCTAGGTGCTGGGAATACAGCAATGAATACAACAGACAAAAACACCTGTTCTTGTGGAGCTTAATTCTAATGGAGGAAAAAATAATGAACAAGGTAAGGAAGTACAAAGATAAATAAGTGGCCAGAACAATATTGAGTTTTGTCTGGGGAGTGGAGGCATTGGAATGCAAGTCACAAGCTGTAACAGCAATGTCAAACCTGTTAAAAAAACATGAGGAAGGTTGGGTGTGGTGGCTCACACCCATAATCCCAGCACTTTGGAAGGCCAAAGCAGGTGAATCACCTGAGGTCAGGAGTCCAAGATCAGCCTGGCCAACATGACAAAACCCCATCTCTACTAAAAACACAAAAAATAAGGCAGCTGTGGTGGCAGGCACCTGTAGTCCCAGCTATCTGGGAGGCTGAGGCAGGAAAATTACTTGAACCCAGCAGGCGGAGGTTGCAGTGAGCCAAGATCACTCCATTGCACTCCAGCTCGTGCAATGGAGTGAGACTCCATCTCAAAAAAAAAAAAAAATCAGTGAAAAAAATGAATGTATTATGGAGAAATAGAGTCATAACTCCCTCTGGAGGGAGAAGTATACTTTTCACATCATTTGTTCTCTCTTAGCTGAAACTATCACAAAAGTGTGGGAAATTGGAAGATTTTCAGTAAGACTACTGGAGATTTGGATCTTTGTCTCTCTTTTTACCTTGGTCTCTTCTAATTGTCTTTGTAGATTTTTGGGGTCCACTGCAATAGGTTCAGACAAGTGTTTGCCAGCCGTGGCCTCACAGGCCTGGAGTCCAGAAAGAAGTCCACATGAAGCATCTTCATAGTGTTGGTATTTATCCACCAGATCTTTAAGGTTATTTCCAAGAACACTGCACTAAAAATCAAAAGAGAAAAGGGGTAGGAAATTAAAACCCATTATTTTCACATGCATCAAATAATCTTAGGACCTACAAAATATGTACCCTGGAAAAAAAAACAGATTTTTACCAAAGTTAAAAAAAACTTTGTAGGACTAAGATTTTTTCTTTTATATGAAGAGGCACCCTCTAAGAATCAAGAAGCAACCATAAAATAGACAGTTCTGGATTTATATCAATTCAAAAACATATTTACAATAGCTGAGTCTTAATGTAGAATGAAGAATAAACATATCAATCATCAGAGGAAGAAGATTTTGATACATCATGTGTATAGATATGGATTTGATGGAAGAGTTTTAAAGGTGTTTAATAAATTACTTCTATATGTTGCACAAGATTAATTATCAAAAGGAAGACAAAGAGTCTATATTAGAATGGAGCAAAGTCCAAGAACCAACGATGGTCTTTAAATCATTTACGCAACTTGGCAAGTCTGTTCAGATTATATTACAAACCAGGAAATATTTTCTTAGATTTTTTTCAAAAAAACAAAGCCTTTTTACTTGACCACAGAAGTAAAAGAAGCAACACAGTCTGTTATTCATTAAGTATTAAAATAATATACTGGTCAAATATATTAGACAAACACCTGCAGTATTTGTGAAGAGGATAATCTGAGATGAAACCAGTTCCCAAGCTTGGGAGGCCGCAAGCATCTGTTTCTACTTAGAGTCAATGCACAACCGCCATCTGGTGGTCACATTGGATATTAGAGCACTTGAGAGCTGGGCCTTCTGGAAATCATGCTCTCAAAACTAAAGTAATTTTAAGTTTCTAATCTTTAAATACATTGTTCAGAAGTAAAGCAGGTTAGTAAGATAGAGGGAAGGAGGCTAAAACTACCTTTCCCTCCTGTTTTGTATTTTAGGTTTCTTGTCTCTTGTTCCAAAACAAAAGAGGACCAAGTGAAAACTATAATCACAGATTTACCTTCCTCTTAAAAAACCAAAATAACAGTACCTTAGAGTAGAGAGACCTGAACCGATCAGTAGCATGATCCAACTTGCGCTGCACTTCTCTGTGGGTTGCAGAAGTGTCAATATTATCCTTGTCAACCTTGCCACCATCTCTCTTGCTGCAAGATTTGGCAGCTTCTAACACTCTGTTTCCAGAAATTGTGATGTATCTCAAGTCACCTTTGTGAGAAATGACGTCTTCTGAGAAACTCTTCTGCCTCTTCAGTTTGGTCATTAAACCACTGAAGTCATCTGCACCTGCCTCCAGGTTTTCAAGTTCTTGTTCTGACTGCTGTAGCCAGTGCTCAAACTCATGATAGTCAGCATCAAACTTCTCTAATTCTTCCTGCAGAGAGTGAGTTAACTTCATTTTCTTCTCTGACTCAGCCAGTGCAGTTTCATAGTGCGCTTTCAGTTCCTTCATGTTCTTTTGCAGTTTCTCTTTTTCTTCAGGAGAGAGATACTGACCCTGTTTCTCAAGCAGCACTTGTGCAGACTGAGTGGCTATGATGACTGCTTGGTGCTGAGAGATGATCTCCTCGTGTTGGGCCTATGTGAAAACAAATTGGTCATAATCTTCAGGCAGTAACAGGTTACACCAAGGCTGCAGAGAGCTCCTTGCCACATCAGGACTGACAGGTTTCAATGATCTGCAGGGCTACAACTTGCTTCTCATTCCCCATTCCAAGTTACACCATTCTCCCTTTAATTGGTGAATTTCAGAATAGCAAGGTATTTGGAGCACACTAATCTTATTTTAAAGAAAATTTCCAATCTTGTCTATGTACTTAATCAGATAGGACAGACACCATTTTTTGGAAGCTTGGGAAAATGTAACAAATTTCTATTCCAATTCTAACCAAAAAGTGTCTATAATCTGATCTCATTTGATTCACTGCTTTCTCACAACTACCCAAAAAAGAATGTCTTTACCTAATTTGGGAGCAAATAAGTACAACATTTTTTATTACAAAATGATCCTGGAAACACTTTTGAATAGGGAAAAAGATTCTGTAACTTTAAGCTTTAAAAACATTTCAAAAATAACTAGGCAAGAACGTTGTACATTCAGGAAAGTCCAATGGACATTAAAGAAACAGATATAATAAAAGAGAATCCTAGAGCTACTCAGCTTCACTGGGCCTCAGTTTCCTGCATGTGAAAATGGAGACAATAACTCCTACACATCACAGGTTTGCTGTTAGGAGTACAGGAGATCACATACGTAGAGCATTTCCTTCAGAGATGATTTAGTGCCAGAAATGCAAATCCACTCTGAAGGCAGGGAGGCAGGGCTCCCAGGCAGGTGTACTACAGACAGGTCACAGGTATACAGAGCTACTGATTCCCGTGGTCTTCAGGGCAGCAGGGGGGCAGCAGGGAGGTGGAGTCCCTGTCCCTCCAGCCATAAGCATCTTCTTCCATTCACCCCAATATGCCATACAAGTGTGGCAAAAAGGATACTAACACTTCTGAGCAATTTCCCACATTTCTTATAACAGCTTCCATGGAGCCCAATGATCCAGTCCCAAGGTCCCATAACCGGAGAGCTCTTTTTATTATCTCCAGATTCTTTGCTGCTCCCACACTTACCTCCATCCTCCCCACCATGGTAAACACTTTAGGACCTTTTCCTCCTGTTGTTCTTTATCTAGCTACAGCTTTTTCATCAGATATCTGCTTGCCTGATTGTGCCCGTCTCCACTGAGTCCTCTCCAAATGCTGAAAACGGGTCCCCCACCCCACACTCAACCACCCTTACCTAACTCCTCTTCTGCCTTAGCACTCACTGACTTCTAACATACCATATAACTTAGTTCATTTCTGCTGTAACATTCTCACTCCCTAGTGTGCAAGGCAGGCACAGGGAATTTATTTTGCTCACTGTGGAATCCCAAGTACCTACAGCAGTGCTGGCACACAGGAGCTGAGTGAAAATTACTCTATGCTGTGAAACGGACTTCTTTAGAAGCACTGCTATGGGGCAGCCATTCACTTGTAAGTCTGATTCCAATTAGCGCAGAACTGGCTCATTAACACCAGCATCCTCACTGTCTATAACAATGCCTGCCACCTTGTGGGCACATGGTAAATATTTTCCCATAGACTGTGTTTTGGTATTTGAAATACATTAATATGCTACCCTCCAGAAGGGTTTTGCACAAAATAGGATGGACAGCCATATACAACACCATGTAAATGATCAGATCCATCCCTTTCCTCCTACAGATGAGGAGTCTCAGGCTAACTTGGCCCAGGACATGTGGGACAACTACTGAAAGCTAGAAGTTTCTGGCTCAGGCCCTTTGGCCCTCTCTCCATGCTACCAGATTGACTTTCTAAAGCATAGCGTCCCATATTCTTTGAGGTAAAATGATCAGATGGAAAATGTCATGCTGTGCCTAAAACCAAGGGCATTCCTGTGTGACATCTTTATATTTTAATCTGCCCACTAGTGTTTTTCACTACCTTGGTCAACTTAATAAACTTTCCTGACTTCTTTTTAACTGACTCATAATGTTCCTTTAGGAATTCACCAGAATTTTCATTTTGAGACCTTATTTTTCATAATAAGGTCCTATAACAGCCCCTTAAAATTGTGAACAGTAAATACTCTCATTCTTCTTCTGGTTTAATTTATATTTTCTACAAGAACCTCATAGGGAGTATCCTATTCCAAAGATTCCAAAGACAAAGAGTGGGAGGAAAATATATAGACCTGCAAAAGTTTCTGATGTCCACTCATCTAACTGTAAAAGCCAAATACTGAAATAAAATCACTGACACTTTAAAAATGGTTCTACAGAAGTCACCTCTGCTTCGATAGTAGCATTAATGTTAGCTTTAATTTATGTCATGCAGTAAATTTGTAGAAGGGCTTTTATATCTCTTTTCACAAATAGCCTTAACTGAATAGATGAGCTGAGCTCAGAAAGAACTTAAGTGAGCTCAATTTCAGCCAGGCACAGTAGCTCACGCCTGTAATCTCAGCACTTTAAGAGGATGGAGGCAGATTGCTTGAGCACTGCGCTTTGCAAACAGCCTGGGCAACATAGTCAGACCTATCACTACAAAAAAATACAAAACTTAGCCAGACATAGCAGCATAAATCTGGAGCCCCGGCTACTCAGGAGGCTGAGGTGGGAGGATCAACTGGGCCAGGAAGTCTGAGGCTGCAGTGAGCCATGCTTGTACTCTAACCTGGGGAACAGGGTGAGACCTTGTCTCAAAAAAAGGTGTTCTCTTAGAACACAGATTCAAATTTAGCAGAGTGAGCATATGGCCTAGTTTTAAATCCAAATTTCAGCCCTTTCTAGATGTGTAACTTGAGAAAGCTACTTTAATACTGTCAGTTACAGTTTCCTCATCTGTAAAATGAAAATAAAAACCCCAAAGAGTAACTGGGAAGATGAAAGGAGTTAAAATGGAAAGAACTTTCTGAGAGTCCACTTTAACTGTTCTATAAATGTTAACTATTATTTTTATTAAATCTTTGTAATAATTCTACTTCACGTATATGGAGAATGCCTAACAAATTATTTCTCATTATTTTTGACTTGCTTAGAACTCTCATAATAATTTCTATCTGATATGATTAAGGGAGGAAAAACCCTCTGTCATCATTAAGATTTGAAAAGAACTCACGTGTTAGGTTATTTCTCTCTTTACCGACCCCGAAATAGAACTGAACGATTTTACAACAACACACCTTAACTTTCTGATATTGCTGATTCAGATTCTCCTGGGTAGTTCCAACTTGCCCATCAACATCAGTCTCCAACAGGTTACCATTAACTTCATCCTCTTCTCCAATTGCTGACTTGCCATCACCTTCTCGAAAATGGGTCCCATTCTGTTCAATTATCTGTTTGCGTTTTGTCCCTGCCCTTTCTGAGTCTTTGTCAACATTTGACAACCAGTCCAAAAGGTTTTCTATTTTGGTTTTGCTCTCTTCCAGCTGCTTCACTGCTGCAACCTGGGCAGGGAAAGGTCACAGGAGGAATTCAGAACGTGGGCCAAGGCATAGTTTTAAGACATTCCAAAAGTAAATACTTAGCTCATTTTAAATTAGAATGAGGGTACTAAAAACTGATACACACTGAAAACTTAACATACTGAAATTAAACTTTAGAGCAACAGGCAGCTACCTTCAAGTTTTCATTGTTCTTAAAAATACATACCAAAATTTTAATTATAATTGACGAGTGATCACACATTTCACAGAGAGGAAGTTTCATAACCTCACTTAAATATTAAGAAAAAGATAAGCAAAGTCAACTCTTCAAAACTTTTGTAGTATTTGGTCAGCTATGTACCTGGAAACCCAGAATCCTACAATAGTCCTTAGTGATAATCCTTGCTTACTACCACCGGGTATCAGTTAATAATAAATCAAGTAGCTGTTAAGCTAATGATTTTTAATACAGGAATAGTGCACATATATTTGAATAAGGACCTTTTCAGTTTCTTCCTTGATTGCTGTTGTCACAACTTTATCCAGCTCCTTTTTGGACTGTTCTGCTTTTAAATTAAGCTGTTCACACTTTATCTTAGCTTCATTCAGTTTCTGTTCAATCAAAGCCTTATCTTCCCGTGACAGCTTTTCACCATTCTCTTTTAAGAAGTTCTCTGTGTTTTTCACTACTTCTGCCAATGCCTGTGCACTTCCTTCCATATCTTTCTGTAATTCCTTGTAACACAAAAGGAAAAAAATGTATTTTATTAAATTATTACCTATTTAGCTCTTCCAGAGTTGTAGTTCTAAAAGACAGGGTAAGTACAGAGTCTAGTAGATATGGTTTGATTACACATATTCAGTATGTTAATTTGAGTTGATTTATTTTAATCACAATACTTAATATAATTTGAAACTCAAACACTATTAAAGAAAAGCATGGATTTTCATGTTTAATGAAAGAATGCAGTCTGTGAAACACTGAAAACACATAACTATTCAGTATATAATCTATACAAATTTGCACACACCAAATTTTTGTGTATTATATGAGCACATGTACAAATGCTTGTAAATACATGTTAATATTTACAGTTCCTAAACTTTTATTTTTAAGTATGTGTTTACTGCTCAGGATAAAAGTGAAATAATTTTCCTAGTGAACTAAGATACTTTCTTTTTCTAAACACCAGACTCTATAACATGTGATGTTTGCTTCTTTGCCTGGCTGCTAGGTAGCTCAAGATTAAGATCTCTCCTCAGTAGTTATGGCTTTTCTCTTGTCTAGATTTCTCCATGTGGTTTTTCCTCTTCTTTTCCTCTTTTATCATGAGTTTTCATTCTCTGTATTACACTGTTTGAGTTTTAATATTGTTTTTTCCATACTTTAATCCTCTTGAAATTTGTCTGAGAAGTATTTGAATGAAAAAATCCTATTAATTGAGCTATTACTATGTGATCTTCACTGTGCTAGTGTGACTTAACACACAATACTTAACGTTTATAATAATGAAACAATGAAAGTATGACCTATGAAGAAACTGAGGCTCTGAGAGATTGTTATAAAGTTAACAATGTATAAAGTCTGGAATCTGAACCAAGAGCTGTCTAGTTACAATGACAATGTTCTCTCTCCTGACACCAAAATAAAGATATCTTTATCTGTTGTTACTTTTATTTTTTCCCTTTCCTTCAGTAAAAAGGAACAAATTGCGAGAAAGATGGAGTAAGAAGGAGCTAAGAAAGAAAAAGAACCCAAACCGATCGCTATTTCCTCTGATTTGCAAGTCATAAGTAGGTTGGCCTTAAAGGGATCCAAATTGTAATTCATCACACAGGTATTTTCATTATCAAACCCCCTTTAATATTTCCTCCACTTAATATCTCTTACCAAAAAAAAAAAAGTCAAAAAAATTATCTAGCTTGCTTGAAGCTGGAAATCTAACTTTTAGTATACAGTTTAAAGCTCAAGCCCAAGGCATCTGGTTATGCCTTGCTTCTAAAAAGCTAAAATTATTGGTATTTTTCAGTAATCCTCACTGATTTCCAAATGACAGTAATCGAACCTAACATCAACAAAGAGCTGCTGATAGAAAACCAAATTCTACCTCTTGCTTAGACTGGTATTTCTTTAACTCAACTGTGCCATCACCAATCATGAAGGCTTCTTGGTGACCAATCAGGCGGTTTTCAGTTTGGGTAAGAAGATCACATATCCCTTGAAGCTTCTCTTTATACTCCTGCTGACGCTCTGCCACAATCTGAAGTGAAGAAAATCCAAAACATCTTAAAAATGTGTGGTGGTCGCAAAATCGCTATTGCAATAGCTCCTTATTAGAACACATTTTTCAAGTTTCATCTAATAAGCTTTTATAAGTATGCTGTAAACATGATAGCAGTAGGGTACAAACTGAGCAGGGTGAGACAGAACATATGAGCATATCCCATATACAAAGAAAGTGACCACGTTTAGATGAAACTGCTCAACAGAATACTGGCCATGCATATTTGTAAGAGATGGAACTTCTGACCAACAGGAAGAAACATCCCATTTTCTTAAACTCTTGAAACCTGCGACACACAGAATTAATTCTGCAAAAGGACATCAAAAGAGAAGTTAGTTGTGATATGTAGGCTAACATATTTGATATGTGTATATAGGTTATCATGCTAGAGACAATGTCTGATGCTTCAAGAAATAATAAAAGGAACATTGCATGCAATATTTTTACTTAATCACTATATCTAAGTGCATTCTCACCTCTTTGCTCATTATTGCTACTAGATATAGCGCTCATATAATTCATTAATTCTTCTTAAAGATTAAGAAGTCAACACTAATTACACGCACCTTTCATTTTCCTACTATACATACACTAATTATTCATCTTATAGCCATAAATCATGTTTACTAAAAGCCTAACACGTGCTAGGCAAGGTACTAAGTGTTTTACGTATTTTTCTTATGAATGCTCACGACACTAGCAGGTAAGCACTATTGTTATTTCCAGTCTAGCACTGATTAAACTGAGGTTAAGTGACTTGCCCTAGTTCACAGAACGAGAGAGTAGTACAGCTGGGATGTGAAATCAGGCAGTCTAGCTCCAGAGCCCATGTTCTGAATCGCTGTGGTGTACTGCTTCCCAGAGGAAAAAGAAACTCTTAACCTTCTTTAGCCACATGTTCATCAGTGCATTTCTGAGTGCATTCAAATATCCTAGTCTTGTGGGGCAGGGGGCAATCAAGACTCTCACTTGAAGTAAGTATTTCTGAGAGTCACAAAAATTAAAATCAACTAAATTATGGCATCATTAGTGAAAACAATATTGTTATACACTGTAGGATTTGTATGTACACTGTATCTTATTCATTAATGCCTTTCTAGAAAATTTTTCCTGTCACACTACACTCCTTGGGTATTTACATTATGGTTTCACACTAAAAACAAAGAATGCCAACTCCACAAAGAAAGGCAAACCTTCTGATCATCAAGATCTTGCTCTAGATGTAACTGAGTCTCTAAACGTTCCAACTGGGTAGTTACTGATTCCTGTACATCAAGAAAACCCTTCTGAGTTCTATTTAAGAGCCTCAGCAGTTGTTTGCTTTGGTTGGGAGGCAGATCCTGTGCATATTCAGAAATGAAGAACTGCACATCAAAGGCAGTAGTCTCCAGCTGCATTTTGGTATGTCCAAGGTCTTTCAATACATTCTGTGAAAAAAGTAGTACAAGTTACCAATGGAGAGCTAAGCCATGATAAAATTTATATTAATAATAACATTTATCTATATTTTAAAAATGCACTTCTTATATCAGGGACTGAAAGTTTTATGGAATTTGTTTACTCTACATCGAAAATCTATTTATCATCTAGTAATAAATGATAAATTAATTATTTAAATACCATGGTAGTTAGTATTACATAAAAAGATAACCCCTCTAAAAATATTTTATCTTTACCTGTCACATTGCACTTAAAATGTAACTCTGACAAAAGGCAAAAGCCTAACTTACATATATTTAGCACACTGAAGAGAAATATCTACCTTAAAATATTACTTGCCAACATTTAAAATATCCGTGTAATTGTGGTAACATACAAATAAGACTATGGGGGATTTGAAGTATGAATGAAATAGGCCAGAATTTCAGTTTTCTGACTCTCAGGCCAGGAGCCTAATCATTGTTCATGAGGAATGCTGTTCAAATTAAGAACTTGGGGGGAAAAAGAAAAAAAGCATGCCACAAGTGACTAACATGGAAGTCACAAGCCACATACAACAGGTCACATATACAACGATGGTCCCATAAGATTACAATGCCATGTTTTTCCTGTACTTTATCTATGTTTAGATCCACAAATACTTACTACTATGTTACAAATGCCTACAGTAGTCAGTACAGTAACATGCTGTACAGATTTGTAGCCTAGGAGCAACAGGTGTATCACAAAGCCTAGGTGTGTATATAGGATACCATCTACGTCTGTGTAAGTACACTCTTTGTTGTTTGCAAAACACAACATCACCTAACAATGCATTTCTCAGAATGTATCTTCATCATTAAGTGATGCATGACTGTACTACACATATTATTATGTATTTACATGAGGATTTTTACATGGCTAATTTATGCTATTATATATTTATGTGACTAATACATAAATAAATGCATAAATAAAAACCTCAACATGTGAGTGGTATAAGAGTTTCATAAGGCATTTGGGATAGCATCAGAGTGGTACCGTTAAAGTTGTGATTATTTTATAGTTGTGTCAACTATGAAGAAAAACATCTCTATGGATGAATCTAGAAACCATCATTCTCAGTAAACTGACACAAGAATGGAAAACCAAACACTGCATGTTTTCACTCATAGGTGAGTGATGAACAATGAGAACACATGGGCACAGGGAAGAGGACAACACTTACTGGGCTAGGTAGGGGGAAGGGGAAGGGAGGGACGGGGGGTGGGGGTTGGAGTGGGGGAGGGGAGAAATACCTGATGTAGGCAACAGGGTGTGGGGGGGATGAAGACAGCCAACCACCATGGCATGTATGTACCTATGCAACAATCCTGCAGGATGCAGGATGTGCACATGTACCCCAGAGCCCAAAGTACAATAAAAAAAAGTTAGATATAATTAAAAATAATCTCTAGAGACAAAGAAAGGAAATAACCCTTTATAGCCTTAGCAAAGTCATATTTTCTAAACACTTGTTATATTAAAGCCACAGGTTTTAAAATATACTTTGTCATCTTTGTTTTGATACTTGCCTTGAGAAACTCCAAATGTTTCTTTACACGTTCAGAATCTTGAACATTCACAATCTCAATATGCCTCACAGATTTGCTTTTCTCTGATATCCAATCTGAGAATGACTTAAGTTTATGCAAAAATTCTTCATGGGAAACTACCAGTTTAGACTAGAAGAAAAATTGTACAGTTAGTTGTCGTTCCCAAAAGTGTCAAATTCTTAAAAATAATGAGTCTGGGTCGGGTGCAGTGGCTCACGCCTGTAATCCCAGCACTTCGGGAGGCTGAGGCGGGCGGATCACGAGGTCAAGAGATCGAGACCATCCTGGCCAACACGGTGAAACCCTGTCTCTATTAAAAATACAAAAAAATTAGCCGGGCGTGGTGGCACGTGCCTGTAGTCCCAGCTACTCAGGAGGCTAAGGGGGAAGAATCGCCTGAACCCAGGAGGCAGAGGCTGTAGTGAGCTGAGATTGCGCCACTGCACTCCAGCCTGGTGACAGAGCCAGACTCTGTCTCCAAAAAAAAAAAGAGTCTGGTTTAATGGCTTAACACTCTAAAAATAAAATACTACATCCTATGACTAAGTCCTCCAATAAAAAAATTTTCTTCGTAAATCAAAATTTTGACATTTTATGCCTACCATTTCAGAGTCAATCGCAAGCATGATTTGTTTCATTCTTTCAGAAGACACATTGCTGAGGGAAGAGAAGGCGGTCTGCAAACTCTTGTGGTTTATACTCAATTCTTCAAGATGTCCTCTGGGAAAGTCACTGGGAAGAGACTTTAAAAATTCTTCTGCCGACTTCATATCTTTTCTTAAAATAACAGCAATTGGAGCCAATCCAAATTCAAATGCCTGCAAAGAAATATATCCCGGATCTATTGACTACTTAGTGAAAAACACAAATATAAACGTGAAACATAAAAGTGCTCTGCTTCTTTTCCCCAATCATGCAGCAGCTGACTACCATCCGTAAACAGGCAGTAGACAATTCTTACCTCCAACTGTCTAAGTTGATTCTTCAGAGCTTCCAGATTGTTATCCAGAGATTCCTGGGTGTCTAAGGGGGGTTGCATATCTTGAAGCAATGTCAAATACTCATGCATTTTTTCAGTGTGCTGTAAACACTGCTGTAATTCATTGGAAAACTAAAAACAAATTTGGACATTTTAACGCAATGAACTTTATGCAGATTTTAAAAACAAACATATAGGATTATTCCCCAATGGTTCATGCAGCTATTTCTGTATAAAATGTATAAGCCAACTTACTTGTTCAGTTGAGCTATCTCCAGAAGCCATTTCTTTTGACCCTGAAATACATTCCAAATGGTTTGGGAAATCATTACATGAATCCTTGAGCTTCTCATCTGTTGGCAATGCTGATGCACACACAGTAGAGCCTTCTAGTCCAATTTGTTTTACAGTTTGTAAATTAGGGAAACAGTGGTTTCCTTCTTTGCTTTTAATATCACCAAGAATGTATGACTTTTCTTCCATCATCTCAGATGTAGAAGATGCTTTTTGATTCAAGTCTCCAACATGTTCTATTTTTTCTGAATATCCATCAGCAAGTAGCTTGTAGAAAATATTCTCAAGTTGCTGTGGAAGTACTTTAGATGTAATGCCTCTTTTCTCTAGGTCATACTTCATATGAGTTAATTCTCTCATCAATTCAAATACTCCTGTAATTTTTTGGCTATGTTGATCTTGCTTCAGTATATTAAGGAGAAGCTCAGATTTAAGATTTTCAATACAGAAAGGATCATCTCTACTTTCTGCCTTTAGTTCTGATGAGTTACTCATGGGGAAAAATCCAGAAGAGTCACTCATTTGAGAGTCTCTGGGCACAGTAGATGCTTCATTTACCAACTGTGATGTGGTAACCCTTTTAATTAAATTTTGAATTAAAATTTCAGTGTCTGCATAGGCTGAAGGTTCTTCAACTTCTTGTGGGTTCATATGACCTTCTTTCAATCTGCTGTCTAAAATATCCTTTACATCCTCAACAAATACCTGAGACAATTCAGGAATTTGAATCTCCTTTTCTTGGGGTCTTGGAGACACGGCTTGCTCTTCTGGTAGCTGTTGCTCAATTCTTTCTTTCTTATTATTAATTTCTAACAATGAATAGTCAGTATTTAAAGTGTTACTGGAGTTATCATTTCCTAATCCACTTGTACACCACTCCAACTGGAGAAAATCATTTTTCCTAACATCTTCTAAATGTTTAAGAGGTAACATTGAAAGTGTGGCTTCAATACTTTCTGGTGTGAACTGAAAAATTTCTGTTCCTCCTCCTGAGCTGCCGTCTTTACTACAGAGATCATTACTTTGGATCATTTCATTAAAAGGTGAGTCTTCTTGGGTACTAGTGGACTTCTCTTTTGTATTATTAACTCCTAATTGTAAATGTTCTTTCATGGGAGGGGCAGTTATTAGAACATGGCTTGGGACATCTTCATTTGCTTTGGCTACATCTTTTGCTTTTACATTTTTAGCACAATGTTTTAAATAAGTAAACAAATCAAGCTCTTTCTCAGGTCCATCAGTGAATGAATCTTTCTCAATATGTGTATTCCCTTCCCACAATGCAATGTTTGAAGTAATGCCACCACTAATCTCTTTGGAAACTGATGTGTCAAAAATTTCTTCAAGAGTCTCAGATTGAACAGGACTTTTACTAACTATCATTTGTAGACTACTTGGTTCATCTTTAAGAGTTACAGTTGCTTTTTTAAGGCTTCCTTTCTGATTAAGTTCTTCATTGTTTGTGATTTGAGGAAATGGAAACTGACTATTCATTAATCTGAAACTATCCCTTGTATTTTTACCAGGCAAAAGTTTGAGATCCCTATTTTCTTCTTCAACTAGACCTTCTACAAGCATTTCTCCTTCACCCACATACATTTTCTGAATTGATGTTTCATCTTCCATTAGTATATCACTTTTGCCATCTCTCCCTTTAATGAGATCCCTTCCATTTCCTTGAGGATCTTTGTCAGTTACAGAGCCTATCAATGACAAATGGCTTTCCTCAGCAGGCTTTCCTATTAAATCAGGCTCAGTACAAATGATGTGATCAAGAGATGAGTCAACTTTTGGTGCCATATTCTTAAAACACTGATCTTCACCTTTCACAGAGTCAGTCAATCCTGGCAATTCTGACCCTTGAATCAACTCAACCTTTGTGTTTGGTAGATTAACTAACTCAGAAGTTGAACTGATATTATTATTATGTGAAATACTTGCAGAGCCAAAAGTTTTTTCAGATTCAGTGTCTTTAATGATAGACAGCAATACATCCTTAAGTGCCATCTCATGATTCAACAGATTTTCTTTGCTTTTTCCAACAATCTCAGTTGTATATTCTGGAAGGTTGCTTCTTTCCGTAACTAAGCTAATTTCACTAGGTGAAAAATTTTCATCACTGTTTTCATTTACAATAGAGGCACACAACTGGATATCCATATCTTCAGCCACATCTTGGTACCTGGGCTTTCCATTCTCATCTCCTCAATGCCATCATCATCATCATCATCCTGATCATTACTGTAACATATATAATCCCCATAACTTTCTTCACTTTGCATAGAATCTAAATGATCAGTATCAGACTGAAATTCCTGTCCAGTCACATTCTCTTCCCTTCTTCCTCTCCAACTGCCACTGTCCTCATATTTTAATGATGCACTGAAGCTCTCTTCTCCTCCTACAATATCATAAGCAGTGAATGAGTCAGATTCATTACCTTCAAAGATATTTGCACATTCCCTTTCTGACACAGTTCCCAGTGACAATCCATTCACCTTATCTGAGCCAACTGTATTTAAATGTATTTTTTCACCAGAATCTAATTCATCTTTCTCAACATCTCTGAGAAAATCCTGAAGACACTGTGCTTTGCCTTTCACACTTAAGCTACCACCTAGTGCCCCATGGGGAACCAGAAAATTTTCATTCTCTTTTGAGACATCATAAAAAACATCAGCAGGAGGAGCTGTCTCATCATTTTCCTCTTGCAGTGTGTCATAGTCCTCAGGGTGCAGACCATCACGATCGTCACCATCAAGAAGCAGAGAATCATGGTCATCATTTTCGAATAAGGGAGTATCGTAAAAATCATCATCACTCTCAGTGTCTGTTCCTGTGTCACTCTGCTGATCATTCAGCAGTGATGTTTCATAGTCACTGGCACTGATGGTTTCATCAAGCAATGGTGTAGCACACATAAGAGATGCACTGGCATTATCAGTATTGCCCCCTTGAGCACAAGAGTACTCTTCTATTTCAGACTCCTTTTCCTTGTCTTCAGGTGTCTGCTGAAATAGAGGATGTGTCTTCTCATCCTCACCAGAAGTATTTGAAATGTATTTATCATTGTGATACTGTACTTGAGGTTTACTAGAAATAATATTTAAAGATTTCTGTCCAGACTGCTCTCCTGGTAAACTGATGTTAATAGCTGCAATTCCCAAAAACTGGTCTTGAAATTTTTCTCCTGTTATTTGACCTGATAACATGGTTTTGTCACTGAATGATAATGTAGGGGCTTCACATTTATTTCCATTGCTCTCTGGCATGTGTGTATCATTAAAACTTCCCTGACTGTGCCTCAATTTATCATGACTTAACAAGGCACTTAGCCTGGGGGAATAGTCAAAGATAGGTGAATTTCTGTTTGTATTAGCTTCATTCTCTGTTTCATTCATACCACAAAATTTACTCCTTTTTGATTTTACAATAGGATTCTCTATAAAATCACTTGGAAAGTTTTGAATGTCTTTAGAATGGCTACATTCATTTGCACGATCATTTGTTTCCATTCGACCTTGATTTTTACAGTTTGTAAGTATGTTTTCAGAGTCACTTCTAAGCATGCTAATGTCTGCAAGTTCAGTCTGCGTTAAATATGATATGGGATTAAAAACACATTCACTGGATGAACTGTTAACTTTAGGATCAACTGACATTGTATTTGCCAGTGTTTCTGACTGAGAAAATGCACTATTAATAACATTGTTTCCCATTTCATGACATTCTTCATCTGTAGCACACTTCCTATTTTCAAGAGTCTCTTCATGTTCAGGTTCTCCGCAATGACATTTATTGAAACTACTTGGTGTAGGTATACGTACATCCTTTTCTTTGCCTGAAGCATCAGTAAGAAATACACCAGAGGAGCTTAAGACATCAAGACATTCTTTTGTGGCTGTGTCTCCGTCAAATTCTGCATGACAGCCTTCCAGTAGCATGCCAACAGCCTCATCTAAGTCTCCATCGTACAGCAAAAGCCTTTGCCCTGTGTTTGCATCCATATAGCTATTTATCATTAAATAAGATAGAAATAATTTTTTAGTTTCTTCTGAGCTCTGAGTAGCAACAGGTTCTTCTCCAACAAAAACATCCTCTTCTTGTCTATAATCATGAACTGTGGAGGGTTGGAATTTACAAAAAGAGAGCCATCTTCTGGCATTTTTACAAACTTCTAAATCTCCTAAATCTGGCATTTTATCAGGTAATATTATATTTTTTAAAATTGATGCTGTGTTATTGTCTATAATCCCTAGCTGTTTAGCAGCATCCAAACCAATGACTTGAGAACTTTCTGGAATATAAAGAGCAGCTATTTTCTGCCTGCCATTCAGGATTTTGTAAGCCAATTCACTTGTAATCAACTCTTGCTGCAAGGAAGATGATGTGGGAAATATTTCACCAGAATGGGGCCAAATGAGTCCAACATAGCCTCTCTGAGCTTCCAGTACCAGAAGAGCACTGCTGGAAGTTATTAAATCACACTGGACTGCTTCATCCACAGTTAAACGCTTGGCAGGGTTTGACTGGATGATTCCACCAGTCTGAACCTGATATGTGAGGATACTGCTGGCAGTGTCCCTGTCAATCACTCCTTCTCTGACGGCTTCTTCAACAGTCATTCTTTGGCCAGAGTCGGAATTGATCAGACCTCCAGAAAGAAGCTGTGCACTTAACAACCTAAACATGGTTTCACGGTCTATGAGACCTTCATGAGCTGCTCTTAAAATGCTTATGTTTCTTCCACATTTTAATGTTATTCTACCTCCTTCTTGTTGTCTCACAGGTAGAAGCCACATCCCCGTGTTTTCCTGTAAAATACTTCTTTGTACCATATCTATTAAAGAAACCTTCTCAGAGGTACAGGGGTCAATAAGATCTTTGCACATATTTTGCCTTTCCAAGACTTTAGAAAATAATGCTGAGGAAACCAAGTTCTGTTGGAAAGCCTTCTGTAGGGTCAGCTGTTCTCCTGTGGCTGGAATAACCAGAGAGCCTTTAGAAAGCAGTATCTCAAGAACTTTGATGGCCATGGATTCTGATATCATGCTTTGAGCCAGAGCATCCAGTACTGGAATTGTGGTAGGTGATGCAACAGAAATAATCTCTTTAGCTTTATTTAGTTCTTTGAGTTGGCACAGAATTTGTTCATCAATAAGACCATGACTTTTGGCATCTTTAAGGTTGAAGCATTTTCTCAATTCTGGTGAAATTAGACCAGAAATCATTAGCTGTGTCTCGAGCAACCTAATTCCTGTGTCATAGTCAATGAGGCCTCTTAAAACTGCTTGAAAGACTGAAAGGACTTCTCCAGTTGTCTGATCAATGGTGCCTGCAATCACTTTATCCAGCTGAAAGGAAAATGCAAAAATCTCAGGTCAGTCTGTTACACAAGGGTGGGCGGAATTTCATGCAACTTAGGTTTTTTAAAAAATAAATAATACATTTCAACATAAAAATCCTCTACTTACCAAGGCGCGGCAATGCTGTGAATGTTAGGCAGTTCAAATGCACAAGTGATCTATGTCAGTGATCTATTCAACAGCACAGGATGTGATAAAAGCTTTGAAAACAACATGCATCTGTGAATTGAAAACTTAATATCGTGTATATTGACAAGGTTAGTGAGGACACAAGAGAGTAGATGATGACAGTGAGAAAACAGAACACATATCTAGAAGGCAAACCATGCTTTCTGCATTTAGGTGAGATTAGGGTCTAGCGGCAGGAAAGAGTGTATCAAACCCCATGCTATTGATGTTTACAGCATACAGACTTCTTCGAAGACAGTCAAAAACTAAGAAACTAGAAAAATTGTTACATACCCCACAAATGTAACAAATTATGTGGAAAGTATTCCCAGGAGTAATGGAATTAAATATAAAGATAACTTTTTGAATACTGAATATTATGTTGGGCATGTTGATATACACTGTCAAGTTTTAAAAGTTTAAGTAGCAGCCAAATTCTAAATGATTTCTCTTATACTTTAAGAAGATGCTAGGGCACCCTCACTGTAATGTATGGCCTTGTAGTACTCAAATAAGTCTCATGGATATCTCTGAAAAATCAAGCAAACTCCATAACACATCAATGCCACCTTTAGAGATGACCCACGGGCTCTTTTATAACATATATATAATAAAATACCTATTATACTAGAAGAATGGCTTTTAAATAGAAGAGTTAGAAGAATGAATGATCCTTTTCTTTTACCATGCAAGGCAGAGATTAAGATGTCACAGAAACTGATGATCAGCACGTGTAAGATTGCATTTAATAAACAACACTGGAATCTCCAAACACTTAAACAAACTCAATCCATGTTTTAACTATGTACAAAATTCAAGGTCATTTCTTTATTATTGACACAGATTTCCATAGCCATGCAATCAAACTAAGCTTCTAGAAACAGCCTTATGTTTAAACGAATAATATTACCTTCTCCTCTACCTTTACATCTCCTGAGGTTTGTGATTCTTGTAGCTGTTTCAGAGATTCACTGAATAATAAATTATAACTTTCTTGAAGAGTTTTCACCTGTTTTTCCAATTCGTTTCTTTCTTCATCTGTCATTCTAAAATAACCAGAAGCAATAAAAAGAGTAATCCAAGTCCTCAAGAAATAAATATGATGTATTAGGTTCAGTAACTTTGTCACATGATCATAAAATAAAATATAGCCTTACATACATATTGCCCAGGTCTCCGTATGACTATATATGAAAATTAAGAATGCTTAAAAATATCTAAGGATCCTTCCCTTGCCTGAGAAAAAGACTGAAGGAAAGGGCGTTAACTAATGTATTGACACTTATTTAACATAACAAAGTTCCAAAATAGCCATTGCTGTTATCTGACAGAGGCAAAGATTCCTCTGTCAATCCCAACATGGAAAAGGAACAATAAGGTACCACTTCTCAAGATGAAACTTGTTTAGACTAAAGCATAAATAAAGAGGAAATTTAAAATGGGAGTAACATGATTTGCTAAGGTATACTATAAAGTCATTATGAAATAACACTAAGGAGGACATCCAAAAAGGGTTTAAGAAAATGGTGGATTCTGTCCCTGAGTAAAGCATTTATTAAAATATATAAAGTGCCTTGTTGCAAAAAGTAGGGACAACATATGAGAAATCAGGCTGTCAGGGGTCTCAGCTAAGAAAATGAAGATGATACTTACACATATTTTCCAAAAATAAGTCTCAGAGTACTACTTCGACTTAAGACTTGACTTGAAGTCTGCACTATACCTCTTACTTGCTATTAATTCTCAACCTCTCTGAGCCTGTTTATCAGTAATGCATGGGGATAACCGAAACATTTCGAAGTTGTAATAAAGACTAAAAGTGACAATTAAATTACTGAGTTGATACTCTTTACATTACTACATTAAGTAAATTATGACTAGTTTGAGTCCCATTTTTAAAACCGCAATTAAAATGTACCATTTCTGTCTTGCTGAATGTTTTTAAGAGCACTTCCCCACTTAGGATAAAAGAGCTAATGACAACGAACATACTTGTCTCCATGTTTTGCCAAAAAAAGCTGCATAGTTTGAAGTGCTTCAGACAACTGTTCCTTCTTGGTTGATATTTCTTCACTGGAAATCTGTAAGGTAAAGAAGGCACATTCAAACTCTTCCTCCAAAAGGAGTAAACAACAGTATTTTTTTTTAAATTAATCAACCTTTAGTCAAGGCCAAAGTCTATTTTCTGAGTGACCCAAGTGAATAACCTATCAGTTACCAGCAGTCTATAGGCCTAGCTGAGAATAATTTATTTAGAACACATAAAGAAAGCTTCTCTATCCTTAATGTCGTCGTTTTCATGAGAAAATGATACATTATATGGTTCCCACATCTGTCCTAGCACCGCCGTGGATAAAGGTCGCCTCCACCAGCAGGCGGGCACTCAGCACTGGCATCCTTGTGCACTGCAGTACTCAAAAAGTCACATGAATGTGGGACACTACTTTCAAAGGGCATCTTCCTTCTGCCACACGCCTGGATACAATGACCCTTTTGAAAAAATTAAGGTGAAAGTAATAATCTATATGTATGCAGATGAAGAATAAAGAATTTCTTGCTGACAGCGGTGATTCATGTCTGTCATCCCAGCACTTTGGGAGGCCAAGGCGGGCAGATTGCTTTGAGCTTCGGAGCTTGAGACCAGCCTGGGCAACAAGGTGAAATCTTATCTCTACAAAAAATACAAAAATTATCCAAGCATTGGTGGCTCCTGCCTGTAGTCCCAGCTACTTGGAAGGCTAAGGCAGGAGAACTGCCTGAGCGGGGGAAGAAAAGGTTGCAGTTAGCTGAGACTGCACCACTGCACTCCCACATAAGGGACACAGTAAGATCCTGCCTAAAAAAAAAAAATTTAACTGTTAAAAAATAAATAATTTCTAATGCTAAAATCCACTTGCTAAAAGTCATCTGTGACTGTCATCTGTCAGAGAAATAAAATTCATCTGTTTGGGGAAAAGCAAGAGGTCTCAACACTTTCTCCTAATCCCTCAGTGCATCACTTCCAAATCCCTTATTTCAGAAATTGCCATTCTTTTAAATGAGCAGAAATAAGAGGAAATAAAGAGCCAATGAAGACATATTTTCCCCCATGAAGTCTATTTAGAGTCCATTTAAAGTTTACTTTTCATGGCTATAGATCATCATGAGGCCACATTGATTTTTGAAGGACACACTTATATTAACCAAAATTTCCTTCAATAGAGATACCATCAACTGCCCTTAGATAGTTATAATTAACGCCATTATCTGCATTAAAAATGTATCTAGGGCACCAGGTCTAAATGTGCCTTAGTAATGTTTTAGAGAATTTAGAACTAAAGAATGTCTGCAAAAAAAAAAATTTTTTTAATTAGCCAGGTGTGGTGGCATGTGTCTGTAGTCCCAGCTACTCGGGAGGCTAAGGCAGGACGATCACTTGAGCTTGGGAGGTTGCAGCTGCAGTGAGCTGTGAACATGCCACTGCACTCCAGCCTGGGTGACAGAGCAAGCCCAGTCCCTGTCTTAAATATAAAAAATGAAAATAAAACTACAGAATATAAAAATACCAAGGGTTTATAATCCATATGTCTCAAAAGAAACTTATTCTCGCAAGGAATCTTCATTAAGCTTTATGTCCCCATTTTGGTTGTCTATTTAATGGGGGGGGGAAGGGAAAAGGATATTTTAAATGAAATATATGTATTAAAATTACTTTGCAGCTTTTTGGTATAAAGCATCAAATACAAGTGCTTTCCTACATCTCGTTTGTTCCACACTATATGATATACAGTATGTAAGACTATGAGTGAATACAACTTGATTTCAGTTGAGCAGTATTTCAAGCATATACTCTGGTCTGTAAACTGCTCCAAGGAAGAACCTCAAACAAGAAACACTTGCCTCATATTACAGGCAAAATAAGACAAGACACTGATGTTTTCCCCTATTTAATCATGTCAAAAATGTCTATTTTAATAAATGACAAGTGAGTACTCATGCAGAGCTAGAAGTGGAAGCTAAATATAAGATTGGAGGATAGCCCCTGAAATTTCCAAATGTCAGGCAGGAGTAGGAGGGTAGTGCAGGAAAGTATTCCTTGAGAAAAATGCTTCTTATCTTAGTGGAAGATTATGTTTACAATACAGCAGCAATCCCACTGCTATGACCAGTGGCAACACTATTAAAATTTATACCGCAATTACCAACATCCTAAGAGCTTCAAGTGTTGCAGTCCAATAGATACCCCAAACATCTTCCAAGCTGCAGCCATCCAACTAATGCTAAGCAGTTGGGATACAGAAGACAGCCCACAAGACTAAACAATTCACTAGGATAAGAGGTAGTATCTAGAATTTCCAGTGGTTGACTGTGGACACTTCCTCATGAGATTTTTAAAAAAAGCCCCAGAAAAGTTCAACTAAAGTCAATAATCAAGAATGTTAATATTCTGGTTTGTATTTTCATTGTTGTTGAAACTTTTTGTTTACATCTGTAAGAAACTGATGGCATGTCTTTATGCCACTAAGTGCACGGATTTATTCTATACATAAAACAGAATGACTGCTCTTCAGCTATTCTCACAAAAATAATCAGGAATCAGAACTATTAGGAAAAGCAGTATACATATTCATAATGTTAGCTTTCAAGTGCAAAGACTTAACTAGAAATGAGAGACTGTGGTAAACAATATATAAATAGGACTTTGGAATTAAACAGCTGCTTCTGCCATACTAATTTTGATTTCTTGGGCAAGTTATTTCATCTTTCTGATCTGCATTATAGTGGCTTATAACAATGGGAAAATTAAGGTAAAGAATTAAACATTGTGCTAGGTAAACTGTGTCAACTCAGTTAACATCCCTGTTGATATTATTATTAAACCAGGACTTCTGTGAATACCTTTTGCTTAGAAAAGGGAGGTTTTCCAGCCTTCTCTCCATCTTTCAAGGTCTTGCTGATATTTGATACCCATTTTTGCAATTCTTTGGCTTTTTCAACATGCTCTTTCTTTTCTTCTTCCAGTGACTTCTGACAGTTGAGTGGTAAGAAAAATATACAACCCAGTAAATGACTTAGCTATGAAACTGACCTCTCCATAGCAAACAAGAATGTAAAAATGTTTTTCCATCACACACAGGTTACTAAAACATTTTATTCATTCACTTAACCATATTTACCATGTCACATAGCAGATGCACCTCCAAAATGCTTATGGTAGCAAAGAAAGTTATGGCACATATTCCTTAAGAATGGTCTACCCTCCCAGCTGTTCCATCAATGTCACAAATTTTAAATCTCAACTTTATTCATGAGGCACTAGAAGATCTTTGAATTGCTGCCTTTGCATTAGCATTACAATCATAATTGTCCTGACAGAAAGGTATCAGATAACAGAAAGCTGACAGAATAGAGAACGTCTACTATACACATAAGGAAAATACACAGAATGAAGAAAAATCCTTATCCTTCTCTAACACATAACATATTCATGTTAGTTTTCAAGTACAAAGACTTAACTAGAAATGAGAGATTCTGGTAAACATTTTAATATGCAAAGAAGGTCAGTATATTCAGAAAAAGGCAAAACTTTTTCATTTTTTGAAGCAATCTGAAACACTGCAGCTTGAAGGATGTGGGAAGGAATTTACACCTTTCTCTTTGATTCCACGACGCTTCATGATGTGCTCTTTCAGTGAGTGCATGTTCGCACTTAATAAATGGGAACTAACACGAGTTTAAATCTATTCAGTGAAGGGGAGTTCTGAAGAAATGATGCTATAAACTTGGAGTTCATCAAGTTTATCCCATATTCTATGCCAAAAATTCTATTGTGGGCAAGTTTCAAAACCCATTCTCAAGGCTAAAGGAAACCATTTGAAGGGCATTACATCATTTGTAATTTTCCATTTAAAACTTACTCTATTTTGAACACTCAGAGATTTGCGGCCCTCAAGAAATAGCATATGTTACACAATTCACACACTGCCTATGTAGCCGACACCATCATACTCTGAAAAAGTGGCATGAACCAGCCAGCATCACCCCTCACACAGTTATTTAAACATGTTCTATTAGGAAGAATAGTAGAGGCTAGAAATTCCTGTCATCAAGGGCTCAGATACTTCTAACAGTTTAAGTCCTGTGTGGAAATCAAAATCAGCTTTTTCTAAGGCTTCTTTGTAAGTCAACTTTCTTTTTGTCTGAGGACATATTATATTTCTGACATATGACTTTTGATCTTTGAGTTTTGTGGCAATGAGGACATCTATCATACCTATCTGGAGAGCCTCTTCTATCGACAACCGAGAGTGAACCTGCGGCTCTATCAATCCTCCTGTCAAGTACTGAAATTCCAAACATCGGATTCCCATTTCCTTATTTATAATATTTGCATTCACAGCTTCCACCACTGACATCATTTTGTTAGTGATGGGATGACCAATCCCTGTGATTACTAATTCACACTGTCGCAATTGCTGGGCAAATCCCTCATCAACCAGGCCTCTATGCAAAGCTTCGGCCACCCGGTACTTTTTGCCACTAAGAGGATCAATTATGCCCCCTGTACTGACTTGGGCTTCAAGGCATCTGAGGGCAGTAATCCGATCAACCAAATTTCTACGGGAGGCTTTGAGAACGGAGATCCTTTCCCCACTAGCAGTCAGCCAATACCCTGCAATAGGACTGTGCAAATCTTTCTTGGGAACCAACCGGCTCAGCAAGGAATCAGCAAGTTCTGTAAGTGTGATGAGGCCTTCCTGATACTTTCTGACCACGGCTTTGTCAATTGTTCCCTGCTCTATAGCCTCATTAATATTGAAGTGTAATCCCGTTTTAGTATCAGTCAGCATATGAGAAGAATGCCCATAGGATTCAAAAAATGTAGCTTCCTTCCACTGATATTGCTGACTTGAAAGTTCAAGATATATACTTTTCTCAATCAGGTTTCTCTGGAAAGCCTCATACGCAGTCAATTCTGCCCCTGTTTTAGTATCTACTACAGAAATTCTATGAGTTTTCTCGACATTGAGATTAGAAATGTTCCTCTCCCCAAATGGAAACAGAAAGCATTGGGACTCTACATCAAATACACACATTCTCAGTAATTCTGAGTAATACAGAACTTGCTTGTTGTTGGGATTAGGGAAAACTCTTGTGTTGCTGGATGGCTCATGTAAAAACTGTAAAATGGCATTATTCAACAACCCCTGCTGCAGAGCAATTTCTGGAGGAACACGAATGCCTCTCACAGGGTCAATGACACCCCCACTGGCAATCTGGGCTTCCAAGATATGTTTACCCTTTTGTCTGTCAAGCATTCTGTTTTCCATAGCTTGAAACACTGACAATGTCTTAGAAGAATATGAATATCCTACAGCTGCCTTCTCTGCCTCAAGAAGCCTAATTCTGAATTCGGGGTCAACAACTCCTTTACGAACTGCATCTTCAACGGAATATGTCTGACCTGAAATGGGATCAATTATAAAGCCTGTTGCAGCCTGAGCTTCTAAAAATGCCAAAGCCATCATTTTGTCTACTATGATTCTCTTGGCCGCTGAGGCAAATGAAAGCTTTTCTTTTGTAGATTCTAGGTAAAGCCCTGCAATTGAGGTGGCTTTCGTCAGAAACTTGTTAAGAGTTTTCTGAACTTCTTCAACCGTCTTAAGACCGAGTCGCAGCTGCTCAATTGTTCTCATGTCCAGAAGCTTAGCTTCCACCAACTGCCTCGCAGTCACAGTGTGCCTAAGCCCTTGGAATTTAAATTCATCATCCCTGACTGAACATACATGATCACCATCAAAGTTCTGGAAGGTCTCTGGTTCTAAACCCTTCTTAAGGAAATCCCCTTTCTTGAGTCCACCAGATGCTCTGCACCCTTCAAGCATCCATTCTTCAGCACTGGGAACTGGGTTCTTTTCTTGTTTTAATGTTGTGACTTCTGTATGCATATCATACTGCTTGTTCTTAGCTATCTGTAACAGGAATTTATAAAATGTTAAAAGTCACCTCAAAAACATTATGTTACTTTACCCATTCTCAATCCAAACATAATTATTTGAATTACAATGATGAGATTAGTGAAAAGAAAAAAAATTCAAACCAAGGAAGGCTTGGGAGTATTATAATATCATTTTCAGAGTCTGAATTGTATCCTCGATGACAATAAAGGTATTAAAGTTATACCTTTAAAAAAGACTAAGACAAAATCTAGCCACAAAATATGTTAGAAGTTAAAGGTAACTGCTTGGTTCTTCTAGCTTTTTTGATAGTTACATTTTTCAAAATATATCTACACAGATATAACAGTTTATCTATTACATCTGTATGTTTAATCTCAAACATTCAAAGATTAAAGAGTGCTAATTTATAATAAAGATTCAAATATGTTACCAGAAAAAGTACAGCATTATTTTCCTGTCAGAACTACAAAGAGCCAATCACATTCAAAAAAAAATTTTTTTAATTTAGTCTAGGAGAGGAAGGAAGTAAACGAGGAAACTTGGCATTAGGTAGCTGGTAAGGTCTCAGAACAGGGTATACCTCTAAGGGTGTCAAAAGCTTCACTAGTTCCATTTCACATGCGTTCTCTTGATACTTCACAGGTGGTCTAGAATGGTTCATGGCCTGGTCTCTTATCTTCTCAATTTCAGATAGTCTTGTAATAGGGTTTGTCTCATCAAAAGTTATCTGTAACTCAGTGCTTGTCTGAGAAAAGTACTCAGAGTAACACTGCTGGCTTTTCTCTTTCTCGAGTGGAGCCCCTGGTGGCGGGAATTGGACTTCTTTTGGTATTTGTTCAACCCGATGTTGCCACTTCTCTTCCAATGGCTGAGGTTCTTGAGTCCATCTCAACAGAGGGGATCTGGGTGTTGGGTGAAGGTGTCCAGTGTTTCTAGAGGACACCTCTCCAGAGTGTTGGCACTCCTTCACTGTCATCTCAAAATCTGGTTTGAAGGTACAGTCTTTGGCCATGTTCTTTTTTTGAATTTCACATTGGAGCAACACTAACTGATGTTCATGCTCTTTGATCTGCTGGTCCATTTTTTGCTTCAGGTTTTCAACTTCACACTTCTGGGCTATCAGCTCATCCTCCAGTTTCCGACATTTTTGGTAATGATTTGCTTCCACGTGCTGCCCTTGTTGCATTTGTTCACGATACTGTTGAAGCTGTCTTTCAAGTTCTTTAATGTTTGTTTCACAAAGCTTAGCATTCTCTTGAGCTCTGCAGTTTTCTTGTTGAAGAGACACAAAGTCAAGCTTAATACCCGAAATATCATTTTCAGTGATGACTTTGGAGTCCATTAATTTTTCCATCTTCTTCCGAAACTCCTCTGCTGACTGTTTGAATTTAGCAGATTCTTCCTGAAAGAGAACCATCTTTCTGTGGGTCATCTGCTCCTCTATAGTCTTTAAGTGCAATTCGTCTTGTACTTTTTTCAACCTGTCATTTAACTCTTGCACCTGAGCTTGTTGTAGCTGAACTTTCTGCTCCCCGCGTCGCTTCTCTTCCTTGGAAGCATTCAGCTCCGCATTCAGATTTCTAACTTCTTTCTCAGTATTCTGGATGATAATGTTCTGTTGGTCACACTTTTGCTTAAATTCACTCACTAAATTTTGACTTTTTGCCAGGTCTTCTTCTAGGCATTTAATTTTTCTTTGAAAATCCTGCTCTGTTTTTGTCTGTTTATGCAAGTGTTCGTTTGTGCTGCGCAGCTGATCTTTAAAACCATCTGCCTGAATTTTCAGTGTTTCACATCTTTGCTGGATAGTTTGTTTCTCTAAAGCTATATTTTCTGATTCTGCCTGAATTCTCTGCATCATTAATTTGGTTTCATTATTCTGCCTAGTAAGCTCCTCTACTTTTTGTTTTAACATCTCTGCACACTCATTACTTTTCTCCAATTCTTCATTAAGCCTCTGGATTTTATCATTATTTTCTTTTTCAGCTTTGATATTTTGAAGCAACTGCTCATGGCTTTTCTCAAATTGTTCTTTTAGATGATTTGATTTTCTCTGGCAGATTCGTAGTCTTTCTAATTCCTTCTGGTCCTTAAAAGAATGAATTTGTGAATTTAAATGCTGAATACTCTTCTCAGCTGCAGAATGTGCCCTTGTGATTCTGTCTACTTCTCTTTGCAGTTTCCCTTTTTCATGATGAAGAGATTCTAATTCTAACTGATAATTGTGCTTTATTTTCTTGAGATCATCAGCTTCTTGCATGGCTTCTTCTGCTTTACCTGTGGTTTGGTTCAACTGCCTACCAAGCTCTCTGAGTTGTTGAGAATATCCTTTCTCTGCCTGATCCTTCCTTTCCAACTCCAATTTAAGGCACCTGAGTGTATTATTTGTTTCATCTAGTTTATCTTTTAGCAAACGGGCCTTTTCCTCAGATGATGATTTTTCAAGCTGGAGGGCATTAAGTTCATATGTCAGCTCTCTCATGTCGTGTTCAGCCTTTCTATTGGCAGCTGTTAGTTCATCCACCTGCTGTTTGAGTTCTTCCGCTTTCTGTTTGCCATGTTCTTGCTGAAGGCCTGTCACTGCCCTGCATGACATAGCCGGTGTGACCCCACACACTGGCAATGCATTTTCTCTACATGAATACTGAATTTCAGTTATTTTTCTTCTTGCTTCCAATTCAATTCTCTGCTTTTCTTTCAACTGTTTCTCTGCTACCTGTCTTTGAAATGCAAGGTCTTTTTCCATCTGCTTTACCAGCTTCAAGAGTTCTTCCTCATTGTCTCTCTTTCTTCTTAATTCTTCCGTTAATTTATTTTTTTGTTGCTCCAAATCATTAAGACTTAAATCTTTTCTTTTAAGATGATCTTCCAGTGTTCTTCTGGTAAAGGTGTTTTCCTCCAGCTGATTCCGAAAATTCCGGAGGTTCTCTTCCACGGCAGCTCTTTTGGCCTCGGCCTCTATGGTGAGCTGCCTCACCCGCTCCAGTTCCCTTTGGGCAGCTTCTTTCTCTCTCACAATGGTCTCCAGTTCCCTGCGGTACTGCTTGGCTTCACTTTCAGCCCTTATCTTCTGCAGAGAGATATCTTCTACATTTCTCTGCTGCCTTCTCAATTCATTTTCTGCAGCCTCCCTGACCTTCGGAAGTTCTTCCTCGACTCGGGACTTTTGTTTCTTTAGTTCGGCCAGCATTCTTTCCAGCTCACTTATCTTTCCTGTCAGTTTGCTATTCTCAAGCATTGTTGCCTTCTGACGCTGAAGCAGATCTGAATATGCCCCATGTTCGGAAGTCTCCTTACACCTTTTAATCTACAAAAGATGTTTTGAAACTGTCAAGCCCATTCTGTTCAAAATATCTCACAAAGTATGAATCAATGTTCATAAAAGTACTTACAAAACCAGATGAACCCAAATGCAGAATAAGCGCTATCACCACCACCAGCAGCACCGCCCTTTTCAGACAGAAAGCTTCAGAAAGTCAGCAGGAGGGGACAAAAAGCCCTTCACGACAGGTTTTCTGAAGAATCTCTTTTTGTCTCTCAGGGATAATTTTATTTTAAAAATTAGCTAGCTTAAAATTTTATAGCAAGAAGGAATTGTACAACAGAAGAGGAAAGGGACATACAAGGAGGCTAGATATTTACAAACTCACATTGGGCGAGGGACAAAGTGGGAAATAAAACTCTCACAACAGTGCCCGTTCTTCTCTTGCACGCAACATAATCCTAAGAGGTAGGAAGAAAACCCAGCACATAGGAAGCAAATGATGCTAAAGAATTTCATTTTCTAGCCTGGTGGAAATTAAAAATGATACTTACATTCTCATGTCTTACAGTTAAAAAAGCAAAGCACAGAACTTTAGAACAAAGAGACAAGTTAGGAAATAACATGGGGAAGAAGGAAAATTATTTAAAAACTTGAAATTTCTAAAGTCAGATCCTTTACTTGTTTATACTTGCCATATTATGACAATTACAATAATCAGAATTGCTGATGCAAAGGCAGCTACAGTCCTGACGGCTCTGGAAAAAATGTGCTTCATATACTCACAGATTTTGTTGCTGTTGTTAATGACATGCCTCATATGAATCCACTGTGACAAGTACCTTTAGATACTCCACAAATATAAAGATATTTGTTAAATATAAAAGCTTTTAAATATATAGTTAGGGATTTAGCTCCAAGGTATAGAAAAAACTGTAAGAAAAACTTTTTATTCTACTAGTGACAGAATCAATGTCAGCTGGGAGGAGTACATTTTACACTGATTATAGAACTGCATGCTCAGGATTAGTTTATAATTACAATTTAATTTCTCTTCATTAATACTCTAATGCTGTTAGTTTTGTATCATCAACTCAAGATCACCAAATTAAAATAATGTAAACAGGAACAAAGAAAGTATTTTAGATAGATTTGTTTTCATTGAGAAGCTTTGGTAAATTTCAAGAATTTAATTTCTATTACAGACCATACATTTTATTTTGCTTTCTCTAATTTATTGATCTCCAATAATTTTGATGAAAATTTCAGCTGTTTGCTAGCCTAAATAAGGTTTCTAATAATAATTCATATGAAAACAAATCTCATAAACTGTTATCTTCAGCGCTCTATTTTCTTTATTTTGGTATCAGGGTCAACCCTATGACACATCAGCATTTTATCTATTTAAATACTAAGTTTTCAATATTTCTTGAGGAGGTTATTTCTAGGAGAGTCTCAGTTCCTTATCAAATGTCCTCTGAAACTTAGCTATTGCTAAAAAATTCTGAGCCATTTCTTTTTCTTGGTCATGGTCGGATTTAAAAAAAAAAAATGAAAAATTCCCTCAGGAAAAAAATATGTTGTTGAACCCTCAGTGTTTTAATTAGAGTCAATCAATGTAGTGATTTGTTAAGAATCTCATGTTGTCTAGATAACTCCTGAGTTTTTTAGCAAATGTGAGAAAAATTACTAGAAACAATTTAGTCCGATTTGCTTTCTTGCGGATCTCAAAGTTATTTACATAAAAATAACTTCCTTAAGTTTTCTCTTTTACATAAAAATAACTTCCTTAAGTTTTCTCTAAATCTTCTTCAATCTTGCCCTTTAATCATGGTGATTAATATTTAGCATATTTTGTTCTCAGCACAGATTAAAGAATCTCTCTCTCTCTCATATCTAATATCTATTACAGATATTCTACTAACATTTCTTTTAACTAAATCAGTATTACTTCTGAAATTAACTTGCATCCATCTTTGATTTTATGTTTATTATGGAAAATTCTGCCTTTAGACCAAGGCTTCTCATACAGGTCTTCAAAACTCAGTTTCAGAAACCCTACTCGTTTGAGTTTAAAATTGAGCTACGTATCTTTTACATGACATTCCATTAATGTCATCTTAATTGGCAGGTTTTTGGGGTTTTTTTAACCTATTTTAAATTATAGTCTTTGCATGTTCTTCCATAACTATATTTGCTGGTTTCAATTAAATATAAATCTTTTAACATTTGAAAGGATGACAGTAATAACTTGTATACAATGTAGGCCTTCTGAAATATTTTTTGTTTTTACCAGTTGCTAGTATTCTACCTCATCATATAAATTGAGTAAGTGGCCCATATATGTATAATCAGATATGTACTATAAAAACAAATTATTTTAACTACTGCATACACAATTTAAAAGATCTGCATACCATTTAAAATGGAATAAAATCTCTCAAAAACTAAAAATATAAGAAAATTATGGATGTGCTTTCATAGATGAGAGATGCATGCAATTAAGATGGTCTCAAGTATTCTAGTTCTCCTTCTAAGCACAAAGGAAGATGGTTATAAAGTCTTGCAATTAGCTATGTTAGCGATTTAGCTGCAGAAAACTGTTAACTCTGAACAGACTAAAATAGTTTTAAAAAGTAGTCACATTTTTAGGAAACTAGAAAGTAACATCCAATAGATATTTATTTCTATTTCAGTTCGCATATGAACAGTTATATTAAGCATAATCACCTTCAGAATTTCAAAAACAGTCCAATTTAAAATGGCTAATGTCCCACCATTTATACATTTTAACATTCATTCTACTATTTTTGTCTGTTCTAGGGAACATAAAGTACATCAAGATAATAAAGCATAGCATATTCCCTTTTAGATCAGATACAAGAGCCTCTGGTGACCATTGACTTTTATAAATAACTCCTCTCTCTTCCTATTTCTGAATATAATTTTTAAATGAAGAATCAAAGCTGCAGAGGTTCTCCAAATCAGAATGGAATTTAAATAGTCTTTTTAAATGCCGCGTGCTACGTCTTTTTTGCAAAAACAAAAACAAAACCCAAAACTCCAAAATTCTTAAAAAGTACCATCATTTTGTAAAAACATCTACTACCTTTAGCATCTTTACATTATGCATAATAATTTTAACTTCTTGAGATACAAATTAATTTAAAATGCATAAGACAAGTGTGTTCACGTGGTATTCCTGTAGACATCATAACAGCAGTAACTACACCTCAAAAAGTATACTTCTCAGTTGTGAGAAAGCTGAAAAAAATTCTGCCAAACTGCCAAAATTTCATAATTTAAGACATTAACCCTATCACAGTAGAGTCCTGAAGTGAAAATGTAAAGTCCTGAAGCAAATGACTTTTTATTTGAGTGAATGTTAAAGACAAACAAAAATCCTAGGCCTTCAGTCATTTTCATTGTAATTCTGTAATTCAATAAATATTTGTACATCTGCTGCCAGCCACATAAACATATCATGAAACATGTTTTGCTTTCCCAAACTACAGTGCAGTTCCTGCTCATCTCTAGCACCTTTATATTTACAGGCTGCTCACTGCTAATGATTACCTCTTCCTCTTCCAGCCTCTTCAATGAATCACCAGCAAATTTAATATATTGTGTCATGAGAGTGACCAGGGCAGTATACCGAGTCCTTAGGTCCATGAACTGCAAGTAAGGAAAAAATAACAAACGCATTACCTCCAGTTACTCTTACTAAGTTGAATGAACTTTGAATAATAATTACAATATTAACTAGGCTTTCAGACAGCAAACCACACAACTCCCCATAATAAATGACAGGAATGAGCTTATTACTATTGTGAAAATCATAATAAATGATAAATCTCTTTTAAATTTCGCCATGAAGTACATTTATCTCTATAGTTAATAATTAATCCTGAATAAAAATTTTTAAAGAGTTTTTAAAAACCCTTAATAGAATGTATTGTTCTGCATGTAGACTTTCTGTTTGGAATGATGAAAAGGATCTGCAAGGCCGGGCGC